TGTGACACTGAAGACTGGAGTAATGATGCTGAAAATTCAGATTTGATCACGGCAATAAATTACATTTTTACAGTTATTTTAAATTGTAATACTTCACAACATTACTGGTTTTACTGTATTTTTTAGGGATGCACCGATATGAACATTTTGGCCGATACCGATAACTGATAATTCTTTATTTTTGAAAGCCGATAACCGATATGTTGGCCGATAAATCTATATCCAAATTTTTTATATACTTTTTGAGAGCCTGATTACAAAAAAGGTCTCATCGTTAAAAGCCACATCCCAAACACTTCAACATAAGCAGCCTAGTTTGAACGGTGTATGTTTTAAAAATAATTTTATTCTCCCATTACCATATTTAGTCATAAAAAAGTCTTACAAATAAATAAAATAATGCATAAATAATGCAAACAAGTCACTGGACATCATTACACGTGTAAAGAATCAAAATGAATGCGCCATAGATCAATAAAACGGAATAGCCTCTGCACAGACAATAATTAAATGATTTTAATTACTAAACCATATTGTTGATGAAAATAATAAGAGAAAAATACAAGTGGTTGTTATTATTAATAATGTATCAATGATTTTGAAAAAGTAACAAATTAATACCACTGTTTTAAATAGCAGCCGTTTGAGCTGCGCGTGCTGAAGCTGAAGAGCTGAATGAACACGGTAAACTGAAGTGTTTTTCTGGCAGCTTATTTAACTCAAGGAAATGCATCCTGAGATTAATATTAATACAACATAAACATAATATTACAACTTATATATGTACAAAATGACGCAGTTATTGCGTGCTATAGTCAGAATGTGTGATCCTGTTGTGGATGCGCTCTTCCCATAACAACGCGCTGAAACACAGCAACTAAACCCAAAGAATTCACAACGTTTTATTATAATAATGTTCTCATTAGAATGTTATATACACGACATTTCCAATCATAGTTATTAATGTTGTGCACTGCTGTTTGAGCTGCGTGCGCTGAGCTAAAGATGATCACCGGTAAACTGAAGCGCTCTTTTAACTTAACCAAACGCATTCTATATGAGATAAATCAGATATACATCAAATAAACACAATATTACAATGTACAATTGCACAAAAGGCTGCAAATGAACAGCGTGCATCTGAAGTGTCTCTGAAGGAAATAATGCATTATTTATCGGCTTTAAGATATCGGCCAAATTTTCTTATCGGGCCGATACCGATAACAGAAAAAATGAGCATTTATCGGCCGATACCGATATGGTGGCCGATATATCGTGCATCCCTATTTAAAATCCTGAAACTTTCAGTTTTTTTTAACCCCATTGTTTATGTATATTGCTGTATGTCATGAGGGAACATCATTGTACAGCAGTTAAGTGCATTTGTGGCTGTGCAAACAGGATGTCCAGTGTCTTATGGGCACTGTCAAGATAAATTACTGACTCGGCCTGTTGGATCCTGTCCCATGAAGCTAAATGAACATCTCCTATTGAGGGAAAAGCCCAGTCTACCTTTTATAGCATGGGAAGAAGTTTAAATTAAATACAACAGTGATGGGATGCTGGTTAAGCCGACTGAGTGTCTGCATTGGTGTTCATGGAAACACTAAATGAGAGAAAATTTCATACAGAAATGAAGCAATATGTCTCTCAAAACCTTGTTTGAGGTGGAGGCCGTTGGCGGCTCAGAGATCGGTAAGTCGAGCCAGGTTTCCAGTGGTCATGCAATGTTCTCTGCTTATAAATAGTTATGAATGAAGACATGCTGTGTTTTTGATGTGCTATAAACCAGAAAGCCCCAAAGTTGTTCTCTGGCAAGATGTCTACATACTTTTGCATGGATGTATTCTAGTTGTGCCAATATGCTCATACGGTTTCCTACACATACATACAGTTTTCTTTAACTGTGATTTTGGTCCAGGAATAAATCCTATCTGATGTAATATTATTTTATTAACAGTGGAACAGGAGCAGATTCAGAAGAGGACATTCACAAACTGGATCAATGCACAGCTCTCCAAGGTAAACCCAAGAACAACTCATACTATGACTATGTAGTCTGACTATGTAGTCTAAAAGGTTAAGAGTCAAACTGAGGCTGTAGCTGAATCGCTGACTCACTGGTCAGCAAGGAAGGTCTGTTCTGCTCCGTCTGCCTTTAAGCATTGCATATGGCAAGGAGCTTGATTTATTTATAGTTCCCCGCCAGCAGCAGCACACTTCAGCAGCCTGTAACATGAGCCATTTATCCCGTCCACCACCACTTGGCCGCGTTTTAAACACAAGCGCTCTTAAACCTGCAAGTGATAACCTGTGTAGAGCTCCAGTGATCTGCAGAGCAGTCTCTGTATAGCTAGAGTGTTGCATCCTTTTACATCAGATTAACTCTTTGATGCATGAACTACTACTCGAATATCACAAAATATCAACACTAAATTCCAAACTACTTTTTTTTTTGTTGTTGTTGGTGAAATTATATTTCGAGCGAGCGTCACATCGGTCTACTGTAAAAGAAGACTGTAGTAAATATTCCAAAGGTCTTTTGTGCATCACCACTGTTGTCAGTCAATTTGCTTTTGCATTTATAAGTAAAAAAAACAAAACACACAATATATATAAAAAGAACAGTCATACTGAATTAATTATGTTTCAAATACCCACCATTTGCAATTAAATTGTATATAAATATAAGATGCATAAAATAAATTGTATTAAGGTGTATTAAATTGTATTTCTTTTTTTATGAAACAGTTTATTTAACATTTAGACAATTTTTTTGACTATCATTTATGATACATCAGGCTTTTATGGTTCATATAGAAAAATACAGAGGTTATACTCATATAAACTAGGAAAAAAATGCTTAATTTTATTCAGAGGCTCAAACTGACCAAAAATATGTAATTTGATGCAAATACTGATATTTATTATATGACTAAAAAAGTATAAACTATCAATTAGATGACAGAAGGCATGTAGTAGATTGTGTGTAGATTGATTTTTTTTTTCCAGCAAAATTTTGATCGTTGATAATTTAGATATTTTAGCCATGCATTTAGATATGATACAGTTGGCTTTAGGGTTAATATTAATAATTTATATTAATATATTAAAATATTTCTTTTTACTATTTTTTTGTTTTAATACATGCTTAGTGTAATTCTCTGTTTATTGGTACTTCTGCCACCAGAGCTTGACATTAGGAATGCTCCATGTATTGCCCTGTGAACACCTTTAAAACTTTCAGATAAAATAATAATGTGTGTTTCAGAGGAGCCATCCAACTGTTGTCCAGGATCTGTTCTCAGATCTTCGAGATGGGACTCGACTGCTTGACCTGCTGGAGGTGATGAGTGGCCAACGCATGGTGAGTGCTGAATATCACACTGAGATTCAACCAAGAAAGTATTTATTTATAGTGAATACAATAGAGTGTATTTGTTTCTCTGTAGAAGCGCGAGCGGGGTCATGGTGTGTTTCAGCAGAGAGGCAACATTGAGACTGCTTTGAACTTCTTGAAGAATAAATCGGTAAGAGTTTTGTGATTCTTACAAGACTGATGATTATTTTCCATTTGTTAGGACATTAACATTTATATACAAATGAGATAAACAACTGTTTATGTTCTCAGATCAAGCTGGTGAACATAAACATCCCAGACATCATAGAGGGGAAACCTTCCATCATTCTGGGCCTGATATGGACCATCATTCTGCACTGTCACGTGAGTATAACAATGAAAACACTATGTGTCTTTACAAAAACTAGAATATCATATATACTTGCATCTTTCTTTGCCTTGAGCTGGTTTTTTTTCTTCATTGTTTACTTCAAGACCTTTAGCATTTTAGCTCAGAGTGGGCCTGTACTTTTTGAGATGTGAGACTCTTATTTCTTCCAGAAGAGAAAAGAATATCAAAATAGTAATGCACATAAGAAGCATATAGTATTATGCATTACAGAAGATATTTTTATGTCAGGGAACATGGGTTGAATGAGTTCAGTGGTTCTGTTTAGTCATATAAGGCTTTTGGTTTAAGGGTGAAAATATGCCAAAATGTATGCCATTATATACACTACTGTTCAAAATTTTAAATACATTACAACAACAGCGATGAACAAAAAAAGAAGCGTGGACAAACCAGTCACTCTTTGTAAACTTTGTTCAATGCGAGTGCCATATGCTTGAATATGACCAGTCATTTATGCCGTCATCACCCGCGTTTTACTACTCATTTACACTACAGCAAAAGATATAAAAATAACTGGCTTGAACTTATTTTTTTGTTGGTGAAAATACTAATGGCCTAAGGCTTTTGCACAGTGCTGTATGTATGTATATATATATATATATATATATGCCTTCTATGTATTAAACATGCTCACTTCTCATTACTACAGATAGAGGAGCTAGCCAACACTCTCTCTTACGGATCCCGTTCATCCTCCCTGGATTCTCTGTCCAGTCTAGATTCTGTTCCTGGATCTCCACGCAGTAGTCCTGTTCCTCGAGGAGCATCACCGCTCCGCACCCGCTTCCGTCTGTCTGCTAAGAAGGCTTTGCTCCTGTGGGTTCGGGACCAGTGCCAGAAGTGAGCTTCATCTAGCTTATGCTTTCATGCACTGTGAATGTTTAATCAAACTGTTTAGTCTGTTTAATCGTTCCTCTAAAATGATTGTTTTCTTTCTCAAGAGTTGGTTGCTCAGCCAGTGTGAGGGACTTTAAGTCCAGCTGGAGGAGTGGTGAGGTGTTTCTGGCCATCCTCTGCTCTCTTAGACCTGATCTGGTGGACCTCTCTCAAGTCCAGACCAGCAGCCACCGGGAAAACTTGGAGAGGGCATTTCACCTCGCTGAGAAGGAGCTCAGAATTCCCAGACTGCTCGAGCCAGAAGGTAATGGCTTTTAGCAGCATTATCCATTAAAATGATCTATTCATAGTGCTATTTTTTAACAAACAAATAAAAACAATATATTTATTTATTTGTATTTAGCCATTTATTTCTTTATTTTTCTAATACAGTGGTTCTCAACCAGTTGGGCCTCAGCAAACATCCAAGGTTGCATAACATAATTTAAAATAAGACAAAACGACTACAAGACAAGATATTTCTTGTTTTAATATGAAAAACCTGGATTTATAAAGTAGCCTAATTTTAAAAATGTGATTTTTAGAAAAGAAGTCACTTATGGAAAAGCCACGTATATTAGTACATTTGTAAAACTACAAGAATTTTTATCATAAATATACATTTTTCTAAATGTTTGTAGTTACTACTGTAGTCATTTTTCTTACCAAGCTAAAATATTTTATTGGGTAGAAATTGCGAATACAAAATAGTTATTTTCCAGTAAATTATGAACAACTGGAGTAGTTATGGGGCCTACAAATATTTTTGTGGAAAATGTTGTGAAAATGTGGGTCAAAAAGGTTGAGAACCACTGCTCTAATAGTGGGTGGAAAATACGTAAATAGTCAATACTACATAAATAGTAAATATTTCCCAGATATTTATAATATATTAATATAATAATAATAATATGATATGATAAATCACTAATTATAATGACAGTATAAAAGCCTGTTTAAATATGTCTATAGAATATTTTTTATATTTTTCATACAATATAATCAAGTTTTTATACATGAAAATATACAGGAGCCTTTGTATTTTAGTAACAAGTTACTTTGCAAAGGGATCATGTTTTGGGGCCCTGGGCATCAAAAAGTTTGAAAACCCCTGGTCCTAGTGTACAATCTAGTGTGCTTTAAGATTATTGACGGTTTATGTACATTTAAATTCTCTTTCCTCTCAGACATTGATGTCAGTAACCCTGATGAGAAGTCTATCATGACATACATTGCTCAGTTCCTGCAGTACTCCAACGATCTGCCCGTAGCTGATGACGATTTTAAGGTAAGACCACCTCCAACTGAATCTCCCATCTGCATCTGTGCTTTTGCTGGTCTGCCTTTCTTTATTCTTTCTAACCCCCTTTCCTGCCCTCCAACTTCACTTCCTCCTACTCTCTGTTGCCCCCTCCTGGTTGGATGCAGCTTCAATCTCTACTCTTTCCCACATGCCTTTCTCCTGTCAACCTCCCTACATACTTCACTCCTGCTGTGCTGGCCTCCCCACTCCACCAGGTACAGACGTCCCAGAGCGCTTCTGAATTCCTCCACAGTTTTCCTCTGTCAAAATATCATTCCAGAATCAGCCTTTACTTGTTTTAGCATGTTTTCTGATTTGACAATCAATCTTTAATTCAGTTCTATGTTTCCTGCCCTGCCCTCAGGCTTCACCCAGTCAGAAAGCCAGAGAGATGAAATGCTGGCTAGAGCGAGCCTATCAGGAGTTATTGGAGGCATGGAATTCCACAGAGGGGAATGGATATGCAGAGAGGTATCAGGTATGCTGAATGTAAAATGGTAAATCATTACTTCCTAATGTACAACACACACTTTATGACAAGCCCTGAATTTGTGTCTGTTTTTATCCAAGGCATTTCAGAACTTTGTGGGGACTTATTATGACCAGCGATGTCCAGTTATTACAGTTCTCAGCGCAATGAGACGCTGCGCTAAACCAAGTGAGGAGCAGATGGCATTGAGAAAATCCTGGGACACCATGGAGGAGAGGGTGAATTCTGCTGATTAAATATGTCACCAAATACAGAATTACACAGAAATACGAATTCGACAGTTCTGATAGTCTTGGGAATGGACTGGAAATTCTGAACAAATCACCAATATCGTTCTTTACAGCAAAAGTGTTTATGAATTTATAGCTGTCATGGAAAAACCATATATCAATACATTTTCAGACTCTTATTTTGTGCAAACATAATAAACGCAGAAACAAACTTATAGCAGTATAACATCCAAATATTCTTTGCTATAAATAAGATAAATATAATAAGCATAACAACCTAAATAAATAATTCACCTAGAAATTAAAATTACATTAGAATAAATTAAAACCCTAAATAAATTAAATAAACAACCTACAGTAGTCTAGCTTTCTAATAAACTTGGCATTGTGTACTATAAATATTGTTGGCTCTGAAGAAAGATATCAGGTATGCTGAATGTAAAATCATAAATAATGCTTATGTTGCTCCATTGTAAATCATTTTGGATAAAAGCATCAGCTAAATGCATAAATATAAATGTGACCCTGGACCACAAAACCAGTCTTAAGTTGCTGGGGTATATTTTTAGCAATAGCCAAAAAAACATTGTATGGGTCAAAATTATCGTATCGTATCCAAAATCATTAGGATATTAAGTAAAGATCATGTTCCATGAAGATATTTTGTACATTTCTTACCGTAAATGTATCAAAACGTAAGTTTTGATTAGTAATATGCATTGCTAAGAATTTCATTTGGACAACTTTAAAGGCAATTTTCTAAATATTTAGATTTTTTTGCACCCTCAGATTCCAGATTTTCAAATAGTTGTATCTCAGCCAAATATTGTCCTATCATAACAAACCATACATCAATGGGAAGCTTATTTATTCAGCTTTCAGATTATGTATACATCTCAATTTCAAAAAATTGACCCTTATGACTGGTTTTGTGGTCCAGGGTCACAAATATAAATAATAAGTTGAATTCAAATAAATATTCAATTATTTACAATTCTGTAACATTTAATTAAAAATAAATATAATATTCTTATATATTTCATATATATTCTTAAAGAAATATTTTTCTTTCTGACATAAAAATTTGTGTGAAAAAAATGTATCTTTTTTATGATGGGATCAGTAATATAAGTAATATTCAAATAATTAAATGGCAAAAAAAATCTTAGATTATTTTGCACACTTTCTTCTCCGCAGTTGCAAGAGTACAGAACAGAGCTTGATGTTGGTTTGCCAGCCCCTCTGAACACACTGGGCCAGTGGCTCCAGCATATGGAAGCTGTGCTGTCTGAAGACAGCGGGAGCACAGAAGATCATGCACTTGCTGCCAGAGATGCCAGACACAAGCAAGAACAGCTGAAGGTCAGTGTGTAAACGGGTATTATCATGCTTCACTGTGTATTTCTGAATTATGTGTATGTCTATGTTTATTCTTCCTGCTTTCTCAGGTCTTGGTTGAGGACTTAAGCCAGCACTTGAACACCCTTCATCACTACCGTAACACAGATGATGATGGCTGTCTTCAAGTGCCAATCGAGAAGCTGGAGGAGATCAAGAGACGGTTGGAAAACAAAATCTGTTCAGTGCTTCCTGCTGTAATGACCAGCGTCTGTAGTGTTTAGAACACTGGATGCTTGATCAGCTCCAAACCAGCACAGTTTGCTGATCTAATAACGCTATTCCACTGCTGGATACGGCTCGGTACGGCTCACTTTTGGGGGGGTTTCCACTGTGTATAGTACCTAGTACCTGGTACTTTATTAGTACCACCTTGGTTGAGGTTCCAAGCGAGCTGTACCAATACTAAAATGTGACGTGTAAACACTGCAGATCATTGATTGGTCAGAGAGAATTGCCATTACCAGCGTCATTGGATTTGCGACACGAGACACCAAACACGCTAGATTTAAATAGTCAGCAACAGCCACCGCAGTATAATTTATTCACACAACTTTTTTAAACGACTTGCTTTAAATGACCGTCACACGCAACTTGAAAAAAGAAATGGCTGTATCGTGGTCAGTAGACAAGGTGGCAACTATAACAATCAGTCTATAATCCCACCCACTTTGAAGCGGTACTAAACTGCAATGGAAAAGCAAACCGAGCCAAGCTGAGTCGTACCACGCAGTGGAAAAGCGCCATAAGATGGTCTTTTCAGCAGCACCATCCCTCAGTTTCTCTTAATCTTGTCCTCTTCTTGATACCCAGGTTTCTTGCTAATGTTCCTCATTCTCTTTGATAGTTTTACCAGTGCCAGAGTGACAGCCAAGTACCACAGCATCAAGCTACAATACAGAGAGCAGATGCACCATGTTTATGACCTGCTGGGACGTCTGAAGTCTAAGCTGAGCCTGTGGAGAGGACCTTACGGCTCCCAAGAGTCTGTGCACTCTCTGCAACAGGATTGGCATGTATGTGGCCCTATAGAGCAGTCATTGCTAATGGCTAATAATTTGCCATAAGTTTCCTTCAGAAATTTCAAATGTTTTTTAGAATAGCAGTTTTAAGTTTTGATTTGTGTAAAATAAAGTCTGTTGTAAAACATTACTTCAAGACTTTTAAAGTTTGTTCTTCAACATAAATTACATGCAGTCAGCCCTCAAAAGTGAATTTTGAAAATGTTAACTGCTAGCAAGTTGATACATGAGGACTACAGCTACATGACAACTTTGCTTGCCTTTTTAACTATTTGTTGACCATTCTGCGTTTAGTGAAGGCATACAGTAGTGAAGCCATATCTAAACATGCTTAAAACAATAAAGCATTGCAGAGATTACATACTTTTGTAGGCCAACCCTGAAATTAACATCACACTGGTTTCCTCGGCAGAAAGCCGTTAGGATTTTTTTAGTTGGCTTTTGTTTTATTACAAAAAATAAACTGTGACCTACAAAAATCTTGGATTATTGCAAAAAATAAACTCTGTGACCAACAAAAATCATTCTTGTTCATCATGATAATATTTACAAATGAACAAAACTTTTGTGAATTTTGAGGCCTAAATACAGTACAATCACTAGAAGTAAAAAGCTGTTTGTAGGCATTAAACGAACTACACTACCGGTCAAAGGTTTGGGATCAGTAAGACTTGTAATGTTTTTTAATATATATATATTTAATATATATATTAATATATTATGCTCATCAAGGCTGCATTTATTTGATAAAAAAAACAAACAAACAGTAATCTTGCAAAATGTTATTACAATATAAAATAATGGTTTCTATTTTAATATCCTTTAAAACTGTACTGACCACAACCTTTTGAACGGTAGTGTATATTGTTAGAAAAGACTTCTATTTAAAATAAATGCTCTTCTTTTTAACTTTTTATTCATCAAAGAATCCTGAAAAAAAAGTATCACAGGTTCCAAAAAAATATTAAGCAGCACAGCAGTTTCCAGCACTGATAATAAATCAGCATATTAGAATGATTTCTGAAGGATCGTGTGATTCAGCATGATTACTGGAGTAATGATGCTGAAAATTCAGCTTTGCATCACAGGAATAAATTCGATTTTAATGTATATTAAAATACAAAAACATTATTTTACATCATAATAATATTTCACAATATCATATTTTTTCCTGTATTTTTGATCAAATAAATGCAGCCTTGATGAGCATAAGAAACTCCTGTAAAAAAAACATTAAAAATCGTTCTGATCCCAAACTTTTGACCGGTAGTGTACATCACAGTTGCATAACTTCAACTTCAAAATGTTATTAATTAATTTAAAAATTAATTTAAAATCAACAAAATAGAAAGTTTGAGTTTTTTTGTTTTTTTTGCAAGAGTATAAGTATAAACACAACAAGGCTATAAAAACGGACTGGTGAGTAGATGAAGTGATGACGTTTAATGTCCGACAACTTCTGTAGTTCTGTAGTCCCATTTAACCACTTGTTAGTGACAACATTTTTCAAGAAACATAAAAGCTTAAAAAAAAAAAATTCGTAAACAATGATTATATGCCATTTAGGACACTGTTGACAAGCAAGGCCTGGTGTGGATGTTGAAGGAAGCACTTCATAAGCTGAAGGACACAGCAGTCAGTTATACCAACAAAGCAGCTCTGGGTAAGTCTATATTGTTGGCTGTTCTGTTATATATGGTTTTTTATGAAAGCTAGTGCTTTTTCCTGTAACTTATGCCTGATTTATCCTCTATCCTCTGATTCTTTTCCAGCCGACGACTCGCCTGTGGTAAACGGGCAGGTAAAGGAGGCCGATAGTGAGACGGGAGTCAGTACAGAAGCTGCAGAAGCAGCAAGATCCACCATGGAGCGTGTGCTGGCTGCATGGGTGTCCTACAAAGACTGCCTGTATCTATTACAGGTCTGGCTGGGCCAGGAGGGACAATCAGAGGCACACGGGCAGGAGGTACTGTAAAGCATTTGCCATTAAAAACAGGATACAAAGTATACAGTGCCCAAAAAAAGTGTTTGAACACCTAGGCTGCACTTAAAATGTATTAATGTCATTTCTCTTAGGTTAGGGCATAATGTTTGAATGTGGTTGCTTTTTATCAGAGGTTAATTTGCCATTTGTCTTGTGATCTCTTTTATAATGCAGCACAAGCATTTTTCCTCCAACTTGAATGAGTGGAGATCACGTCAAGCCCAGCTGAATGAGGCGGGAAACTTTCTCATTGATATGAGTGATGCCTCCACCAGCCACTCTCTGACTGAAGAGCTCCGCAAACTGAACATACAGTGGGCTGACTTTATAAAAAGGACCAAGTTTGTGAGTCTTGTAAAGACAGACCACTCTAGTTTTCAGCAGGGTCCAAAATGAACACTTACCTAATGCCAAAATACAAGTAAAAGTTGTCTTTGTTGAAGAAATAAAGCAATTTCTAGTAACTTTAAAAGAAACTGCTCCTTATTACTTTAAGTCAGTTTGAATGCCAATCTGAGTGATTTAAAACAAAGAGACAAAAGCACAAGCAGCATCTCTTACAATTTGAATTTTGACAAACATTTTCAGTGGAAATTATTCCATTCAAGTATCGAAGGTGCCTGTTATAAAACTGACATCTCTCACATGTAATATTTTTCATATTAAACCACCAATTTCAGTATATATTTTGACTGAGAACCCAATATTTTTGTATTGGCAACAGAAAACATGATGCAGGTGTTTCTCACAAAATATTCAAGGAAAAAGCTAAATATATCCCATTGTCAAGGACAGAAATAATGCAAAAAAAAGTTTCATAGCCGGTAAGAAATATTTATTGCCGGTGAATTTACTCAGTTCATTCTCAAGCAGGTGTGGGAAAGAGTTTATTTTGAACTTATGTTTCAATTTAAACTTGTTCTACTGGATTGAATAAAGAGTTTTGCCTTTAACCCTGCCAAGACCCAGCCTTTTCTGATTCTCTCTTTAAGTTGCATAACTTGTTGGTGGATCGTTACTACTATTTTTCACTTTCTTTGAGTAATACACTGACAAGCTGGTACTTTGGCCCATTGTGTTTCAAAACCACAGGAGCATTCTGTTTCATCATTTGTGCTTACTGTTCATCAAAGCATGTGCTTGCTCTTGTTCTTTGTCTTTTAACATTCTACACCCTTGAAAAGATTGTGATTGTTGATAAAAAGATGTTGTTAAAAAAAAAGATGTTCTTGTTTAACAATAAAGAGCTTATTTTTTTGTAAATGGCATGTTTTCAGGCAGTGGCCCCTCCGCCCATCGCTGCGGTCCTGGGTGTCCAAGCTGCTCAGTCTCTGATGCAGGAAGCCAGCTGGGTGCTTGGAGAGACTGTGGAGGTGTCATCTGGACCTCTACGCATTTACAGAAAGAAACTCCAGGTATTCTGATCTTTCTGTCCTAGCTGTAGTGCTTCATACTGTTCGTATTGTTATACTAGATATTTCCTCATTTATTTGTCTTTCTTGATGTTTGTTTTCTTCTTTTTTTTTTTTACTTTGTCTTGACTGTTTCTCACAATCATTTTCTTTTTTCCACTTTCTTGTCAAGGTTGTTTATGCTTGTCTTTTTTTTCACTCAGGGCATAATTAAGAAGATGTCAGCGTTCAATTTGAACTCTTTGTCTCCATCTCCAGACTGCAAAGAAGAAACTCTACAGAAACTCAGACAAACTCTTCCAGAGGTCAGGCAATATTCCTTTTAGGTTATACATATATGTATTTACAGTAAGAGACAGTTCACCCAAAAATGAATTTTTTTTTTTACTTGTCCTCATTTATCCAGTGGAACACACAAATACAATTTTAAATAATCTTCATGAGTCATCGAGTCTGTGAGTGAATAAATCACTCTTTTGAGTCAGTCCTTTCCAATGAACTGGTTCATCAGACTGATTTGTTCATATTTGAACAAATATGTCACAAAATCATATTTTTACTGAACAATTATCGTGGCTAAAAGAATTCACAGTAACAATTTTATTGCAAAGTCTACAGAAATTGTATGAATAATGTGACAAAAATAAATGATGCTGTCAGTCAAATTCGTCTTTAACTTTTATTTTGTGTTTTAACAAAAAAGGTGTGTTGAGAGACGGAGATAGACATTGTAAAAATAACTTTACAAAAGTGTACAAAAACAACTGTTGATCGGCACTTCTAAATTATTTCGTGCGCAGTAGTAGTTACATATTGCATCAAGATTTTTTTGTTTGTTTTTGTTTTTTGTATTTTATGACAGGTGGCAAACAGAGTTAAGGTGCAGTACTACCATCTATGTAGGAGTGTCAACCAACGCTCTAAACACTCTGTGTCTCTAATGAGAATAATTGATTTGACTAGGAACTGAACAAATCTGTGGACATGTTTCTTGGCAGACATTTGAGACTTTGACCCGGGTGGATCAGGTGTGTGAGAGACTCCAAAAAGCAACACCTCTGCTCGAGGGCAGGCTGGCTGAGCTTGAAAACTGGAGCACAGAAGCCCAAGAGGTCTGCAACCACCTAAAAGAAAAGCAGCATAGGGGCCACCGGGGGCCACATCCCAGGGCTAAAGTGAGCAAAATCAAGTTCTTGAGTTCATTTGGTTGATTAAAACAGTGCTTTCACATTGTCATCTCTTGTGATTCTCATTGCAGGGACTGATCTCCAGAGGTCTACAGTTGGAAGGACAGGTGGTGACAGAAGGTGAGGACCTGCAGGTGCTTGTGACATCGGTGCAAAAGAACTCCTCCCTGCCTTACCTCAGAACATCTGCATTACAAGACCGACTGCAACGGACTGTCTCGCACTGTCAGGTGAATTTCATTGCAGGCCAGTATCGGTTAAGGAAAGCTTAAAATCATGATGTTTTAACTTCTCACACCCTTCTGTGTGTCTGTTAGGAGGTTACCGAGATGCTCAGTTCTCATGGAGTGAAGCGTGAAGGACAGCCTAAAGGTGCACAGCCCGCTTCCAAGGTTTTCGTAAAGGCATATTCTCAGCCTGAATCCCAAATTGGAACCATTCAACACCATCAGAAACAGACATTCTCCAAAAGCAGCATACTTTCTCCAGAGAGCCCAGTAGAACATCAAAGCCAAGAACTCTATTCTTCTCAGTTGGAAGCCACCAGTGGCGTACAGCCCCAGGTTCTCCAACAGAATCTTGATAAATCTCCAAAAGACCAAAGAAAAGCTATGTGCCAAGTACAACATGCAGAGCTCAAACAGCCTTTGTTGTCATCTGTTGTTGGCAGGAAGGTTGAAATGAAACCCCAGACTGAAGTTCAACTGATCTCTGTAGACTCTAGCCTAACCAGTAGCTTTGGACCATCAGACCTTCAAGCTGCCTCAGTAAACTCAAGCCAAATCAGTGGCTTTGGACCCTTAGACCCATTGCAGGTTATCTCTGTAGACCCAAACCAAACCAGTGACTTCAGACCATCAGAGCTACAGGTTCTCTCAAGCCAAACCAGTGGATTTAGGCCATTAGACTCTATCCAGGTTATATCTGTAGATTCAGGCGAAACCAGGGACTTTGAATCATCAGACCTTCAGGTTATCTCTGTAGACTCAAGCCAAACCAGTGGCATTGAACAATCAAACCCTCTGCAGTCTCTATCTTCAACTATGTCCAGCCAAAGCACATTGCTTACATCGGTTACCATGACTCAACTAAAAATGCCAGGCGAGCAGCATCTTGGTTCACCACCAAAATGGCAACCTCGAATCTCCTTGGTGACCCCACACCAAAGACAAAAGGTTCTGGCCAAAAGTCACAGTTTTCCTCAGCCCCATGAGCCATCACAAACTCTGCCTGTAACTCTTGCATCCTGCCCAAGCACTTTGCATACACCGGTAACAGTGACCCAACAAATGATGCCAATCAAGCAGCCACCAAAATGGCAACCTCTGACCTCCCTGACGACCCTACACCAAAGACAAACGGTTCTATCCAAAAGTCACAGCTTTCCACAGCCATCAGAGGCTCCAGGTGTTCCCCATGTCCCAGTACAGAATGAGGTGTATGCTAGAGCTCAGGCTTTGGCCAGGAGCAGGCTGGATAAAGCCAAAAAGCACCTGCATGAACATATACAAGATGTCATCACTGTTATCAGTACCAGAGACAAATCTAAAAAACAAGCCAATAAAAAACAGGTGAGGCCATTTAAAAATGTGTAGTTTTCAATCCAATAATTATTTGCAATCAAAGAATGGATTAAAAAAAACACATTTGGTCAAAACACATACACATAAGCTGTTAATGACTTCTGATATTTTTTGGTTCTATAGGCGGTGTCATGTATTCTCAGGCCTGCAGTGTTGGAGACGTTTCTAGAAGCCGTGAAGGGAATGGGGGATTTCTGCTCTGATGCCCAGCTCAGAGACATGGACCTCCTCTCTCAGTCAGTCAGGGCCCAGTGGGAGGTAAGAGAGAGATCATGGTCCTTCTAGCTGTGCATTAGTGTATGCTGCTCACAGTGCTCAGTACAGTCGTAAACACAAACCATCAGGACTGGATTGTTGTGATTGGTTTAGGTAATGCTTGTGAATTACTCGTATCTATATGCCATTTACGTTTTCCTGAAAAGTTTTAAAGGTGCATTCTATTAGTTCTTTAGTTAGCGTTAATGTTTTGGGTCACTTCATTTCAACATGGCAAAATACAATGGGGGTTGGCCCATACGGTGCATAATTAAAACGTGTGGACATGTATGGACGTAGTTATTATTATTAATAAATCTCGAGTTATGCATGAATATGTTTGCACAGAGGTTTTATTTAAAAGTATGTACATGTATATACAGTTATATTTACTGAAATGTGATACAGTGCATGCATCTAATCTAGTTTGTTTTTGTTTACTAACCTTTGGTATATTCTGATACTGGGTAGATAAGCTGGCAGTCTGGATTGACCAATGCCACCATGGTTCTTATGTGACTTTGTCCCAGCATTAATGATTAAATCATAGCATCTTTTGATGGATCTTCCATATCACCCTGTCCTGTTTAGGCAGTGTAATTGTGTGTGTGTGCAGCTAACACATTCCTTAATCTACATGCCTCTGCATGTGAACATAACTGCATTAAGTCCAAATTAGTCTTTTCTTTGCTCAGTGCCTGTAACTTTTACTCACTACATGGATTTTCTTTCAGTTTATGAAGTTTTATTCCTGTCCATGAAGTCTCTGAAAGTTCTTAACCCTTATTCAGTAGTTTTTATTTAAACCTCAGTTTTATCATTTCATAATCATCAAGGGTTGGTTTAGTTGTAACTGGGATCATTTATTGACTGCATGCATGTTTAGACTGGTTGATATAGACGGTTACTTGTTTTCCTTTCATCTATATATCACATTTTGCATGCATTTCTCTCTAGTCACAACCAGTTAGCAAGCCTCATTACCTGTAATGGGATTTTCAGCACTCTTTCTAAATGGCCACGAAGAAGACTCCTTTGCTGACTGATATTAACTCCCATTAGCATAAACTTTGATGTTCATCCCCAAACCATGATTATAGTACATTTTTAAAATAGTTTTTGTGATAGACAAATTTTTATTTAATTGTATCATTATTGTCAAAGAGTTTGGAATTAGTTTGTTTTGGGTTTACACCTCAGGTATGTGCCACAGCAGCTGAGCGTTCAGTGCATCTGGAAGCCTTGAGAAGAATTAAAGGTGTTCTTCTTAGCACCACCCATCTGAGAACAGACACAAAGAAGTTGGAGACCGTTCAGTGCCGCACAGACTCCACAAGTGACTTGGCACCATGCCAGGATGGGTACGTAAGAAACGGAGTGGAAATTGAGGTTATATAATTAAAATATCTAGGTTATATTATATTAATAATATATATTCTGATACAGTATATGTTTTAGAAATAAACATTTAGTAAACGTGTAATAGTAGAAAAAATCTATTTCAAATAAATGCTGTTTTAAGTACAACTTTTTCAGTATTGACAATAATCATTTTTATGGAGCGCCAAATGAGCATATTATTTTAGCATATTAGTGATTTCCGAAAGATCATGTGACACTGATGATTAAATTAGAAATTAGAAAAGAGTTATTTAAAATTATAATTATACTTCACAATATTACTGTTTTAATGTATTTTTGATCAACGCAGTCTTAGTGAGCGTAAGAGACTTCTTTAAAAAACATATACAAATATTAACAACCCCAAATTTTAAATATTATTGCATGTCTTTTTCAAACTCTGGCCTTTCTTATAGACAGTCTAAACTAACTGTTGTCTCTTATGTATTTGTGCTTGTGTACAGTACATACCTCACATAAATACATTGTCTTCAAGAGTTAGGTTTAGTATATAGTAATTATAGTTAGCTTTATATAAATGTTTATGGTACTGTATGTCATTTACATAACTAAGTAAACGTGCACGTGTGTGTTAACAGCAGGGGGGGAGCAGTCAAGGACTGTGTCCTGGTGAGAAAGACTGTACTGCTGGATGACCTAAGCCTCGACCACTCACAGGTACACGTGATCATTTGCTGCATGTCTGTGTGTGTGTGACATGACTATTCTTTTTGATCAATGCAGTATTTTTTTTTTAAGAGTATTTTTTTTTATTATTCTTTCTCAGTCTCTCACACCAGCATGACTTTACACTGGCAGGTACTTGAGCATCTGTGAGCTCCATATCTGCCCAGTGTTAACATGGCACGTTTTCTTGGCATGGTCAAGTTTGCTTGTAACCAAACACAGAGATAAACCTTATGAGAATCTGATTGGATGTTGTTGACCTTCTTAAGCACATGGACAGCTCAGAGGAGTTAATCTGCTGAGATTGTCTAGGGCTGCTGAACATTGTATTGGCTTGTTCTGGGGTCGTTTGACCCCTACATGTAATAACGCTGCGGTCGTTCTCTCTCATAGGCTGTTGTCCAGACCAACATTGTGGAGATAAAACAGATACCAGAGAGGACCATCATCAACCCCTGTTCAGCACAGGAAGAGAAGGTTACCACAGAGGAAACTCAAAGCAGGTAAACACTTTTGATACAAGTTACTGAACCTTCAAGAAATGGATATATTTCCCTACTCTGTCAATACTATCTAAAGATGTAAAAATCTAATATAAAATCAATGTTAGGACCTTTCTATATGCAATTTATATGCTGCTACCTTTTAAAATTCTCATAATGATTACTTTATGAAATAAATATGTATTTAAATTCTGTTATTTATAAATTAAAATCTAGAATGTTATCCTTTATAAGCATTTTATGTACAAATTTTGTATATGAATTTTTCCCCTTCCAGCTACAGTGCTGTTCAGTCAGTCTTCCAGCAGCAGCTGCTTAACAACAGTCAGCAGCTAGGATCAGAGTTTCCCATCAGCCCCGGCAGCAATGCCAGTATCTCTGCTGACTCACTGAGAATTCAACTCCAGCACCTACTGGTCAGTCTCCTTCGCCACTTTCCTGCATTTGGGGTGCATTTTATATACAAATAGCTGTGTGCTCATTTAGGCTCTTAAGGACCAGACAGAGGCTCTTTGGCGTGAGTTTGAGCTTCAGTATTCCCAGAGCTCTCAGCACATGGAAGATGGCTGTAATATGGAGCAGGAGAGAACTCCGCTTATTCAACAGTGGAAGGAACAACAGATGTGCTTTCAGGCCAGGTGAGAGATGTAGTCAATCCAGAATGCAGACAAACTCTGTGGATAAGGAAAAATATTAATTATAATAATTTCTCATTCATTTCTGAAAAGTATCTATGGAAACAGTTCAGAGTAAATAAATATAAACTATTTTGTCCAATGTCCAACTTTATTGAAATCAATTCTCAGGCCATACATGTGGAGTTCTATTTCTGTGGTGCAGAGTTGTTGTTGTTCTAAAGCCGATCCAAAGGTTTCATGACCATGTTGCAAGGGAGCTTGCTAGCTTTTGGAGCAGAGCTACTGTTAGCCATAAGTATAACACTGTGTCTACACCGGACTTGTGCAGCGCGGTGCAATGCAACAAAATACTATAGAACCCATTATAATCATTTATGCTGTCTACACTGGATGCGTCATGACAAATCCCTGACAGTAAACTGAGGCCTTGCTCTATTTATGACATACTAACACAAAGTTCAAATGATTTGCAATGGTTGCTTATCGCGTCCAGTGTAGACGGCCTCAAGCTGTCCCATACAGTGTAGACACTGTGTAAGTGGCACAATAATAATGTTATTTTATATGTTGTTCAGGGTGAAGTCCCTTGAAACTGCGGTAGAGCTGCTGGAGTCTGCGGACAATCAGATCAGACTGATTTCTGATCATATCAAACAGATTAGTCAGAAACCTCTGAATATTGGAAACTTTGCCGTTGCTGATCCCAAAAATCTACATGAAGAAATAAAGGTACATTATCCTCCAAATTCATCTTCATGCTTGCAGGTACTTGTAGATCTAAATGTTTTTCTCACCTCACAATCAGCAAATCGAACAACTGACACAAAATTTCCTAGGAAAATATGACTTTTGATAGCTTTACCTTTAGGAAATATTTGCTTCCTCATTCAAAGCATACATTTAAATATTTGCGTAATGTACCTTACATGGACTGATGTACTTTGCATGTTCAGCGTCTAGATGAAAGTATCGAGAAGGAGCTGTTTCTGCTTAAGAGTGACGGTTCAGTTAGTGATGCTTCTCATCTGAGTCCCATTGAGCTCCAAGCTCATCTTCCTCTGCAGCAAACGCTCCACGGCCGCACAAAATGCTTGGACCAGCAAAGACAATGTCTGAGAAAGAGTGAATCAGCCCTGGTGGGCCTCGTGAACCTCCTATCCCATCTCCAGAAGGTGAATGCCGAATTCAATGCAGCTCACAACGCATCAAATCACAGTTTAGTCTCTATCCGGCAAAGCCTTCAGCAGGCCAGGGATGAATCGGTTCAGCTAGACCAACTGCTGGATGATGCTGGTATGAGAATAACTCTGGATGATAAACCAGGCAGCTGTCATGAGATGGTTTCAGCTCTGGCTCTGCGTGTTGAAGAGGTCGAGGCCAGACTGGCTGTAGGGCTGAAGCAGTCTGACAGAGGAGGGAAAGGAAGAGTGGAGGGAGAACAGATGGACAGAGCGTTCGGTAGGAAGAGGATGGGCCTGCAGGTCGCCCTGAGGGAGGTGCTGACGGCACTCGAAAAACATGGGCTGAAGGAGCCCACACTTCCTGCACTACAGCACAGGTCAGCAGACTTTAAAACAGGACTGCTTTTCTGTTTTTTTTTCTTTCTTTGTTTTGCATACAGTATTTTCAAGGATAAATTAAATAAAATGAATCCAAAAATGCTAGTAATATTTATTAAAATAATAATTGCAATATACATTTTTAAAAAATCAGGAATGCTTATTTTTCCTCTTGCCTTACATACAATAAATTAAATGTGCTTTAGAAATCATTTAATTAATTTTATATTGTGTATTGCAATTTTTTTTAATTAACCTTTTTGATTTAATTGAATTTATTATAACAAGGTGCTAGTTATGGTAATTAAAATAACAATTGTAATATGCAATATAAATTAAAATACAATAAAAATTAGGGCTGTTTTTTCAGTATTTCATAAAGTATTTCTAAAGCATATTTAATTTAATTCAATTAAATTTTAATTTATCCAAAAATAATAAAACAAGTTACTAGTTATGTCAATTAAAATAACAGTTGAAATATACAATATAAAATAGAATAAACTTTCACCACAATATATATAGACATGTATGGAGATAATGTTGTGATTGATGCATGAGTGCTTTCTCACAGTAACGCCTATATTTGATCCATTTTGGATAGTTAAACAATTGTCAGAATGACTTCTGAGAATTTTCTACCTCTAAATTGGTTACAATAAAGGAGACGATATGCCTCTGTCTCAGTCTCACCAGTGTCTCTCTCTTTCTCAGGTTACGCTTCCTGACAGACATGGAGAGTAAACTGGTTGCACTATGCTCAGAGATTCAGGATCTGACAAATACTTGTGCACAGACAAGCACCTCAGACACAGGCATCAGCGAGCTGCAGATGCAATTGGAAAACGCACACAGAGCAGTCACAGAGAGGTGACGACAAACACATGATTGTATGAAAGCTCTTTGTGAAATGCCATTTTTCTGCACGTATTGCAAAATGGACACATTCGTTTCATGCTTCTATTTCAGTCGTGAACAGTGTGTCTCTCTGACTGAACTACTGAAGAAGTTTCAGAGCTGCCGAAATCGCTTGGGCAGCACTTTGCAGAAAGCAGAGCAGACTATTGGTGATCAGGCCTCCTATATGGGCAAAGACAACCTGCAGCTCTTGATCAGTAAGGTACAAAGTTACTGGAAAATACTAGGTGCAGTGCTTCCATTCCTGGTGGACTGCAGATGGCAGTATTAACTGCATCGTTTTAGATCATTTTTAATATTCACTGCAGATTTATATTTTGAAAAATGTATATATAACATCATTAGATAAAACTGGAGTCAGAGTGAGAATGAATAAATGCATGCCTATTTATATTTTGTGTATGTGTGTGCAGGTGACCAGTTTAAAGTCAGATCTCAGCGGTCTTGGTGACGGGGTGGAGGAGTTCAGAGCTGTGTGTCGGCAGCTGCAGTCTCTGATGAGAAGGATCCCAGACTGTGCTGACACTCCATTTGAGAGTGAGGCTGATTCCCTCATGGACCGCTGGCTTGATGTATGTTCCCTCAGTAATGTAAAATTTCTCACTCTCTTTCTCAAATAATGTACAGCATTGGAATTAACCTGCTATTCCAGGTGACTGAGAAGACAGACTGTCATCTGGACAACCTTCAAGCTGGCTTTTCTCTTTGGGAAAAACTCCTACTGTTGGCTGGAGAAGTGGAGGGCTGGAGCGCCCAAAAGCTGATGACACTTGCTCAGTCAAACCCCTTTCAGACAGAGCAGGACGTGTCTGTCATGGAGGTAAAACCTTTGTTAGTTGACATAATTTTAGGCATAACTTTCAAATACACTTATTTTAGAATTGGAGACCAATGTTAAATATTTTGGGTGTTAAATGAGAAAAATATATCATTATAACTTGTAACTTGTCATTAAGTGAACATTTATGGAAAAGAAATATGATATTGTTAGTGATATTTACACTGCCATTCAAAAGTTTGGGGTCAGTAAGATTTTTCTTTGAAATAAAGGACACGTGATCAAAAGCAAATAAGGAGATATATAATGTTACAAAATAATTTGTTCTTTTGAACTTTCTCTTATTCAAAGAATCCTGAAAAAGGAAAATATGTATCACGGTTTCCACAAAATTATTAAACAGCACAACTGTTTTCAGCATTGATAATAATAAGACATGTTTCTTGAGCACCACATCAGGATATTAGAATTATTTCTGAAGGATCATGTGACTGAAGACTAGAATAATGATGCTGAAAATGTAGCTTTGGCATCATAAGAATAAATTACGTTACTTATTTTACTATATAGTTGATCAAATAAATGTAGCCTTGGTATAGTGAGTATTAGAGACCTCTATTAAATATATATATAACGTACTAACCCCAAGCTTTTGAACAGTTTCTTATGTATATTAGACTTACATAAATGGTGACTTCTTTGATTAAAACAGTTTTTTGTTATGGATGTCACAACTGACAGTATCTGTGTCAAATATAATTGTTTTGCACAGGATGAGCTCAGGATTCAAGAGGAAAACATTGAACATTTCCATCGCAGATCATCAGAGATCCAGGAGCTGCTGCAGAGTTGTGAGTTCCCACTGGAGCTACAGGTGATTTTCGGACACACCAGCAACTTTTCAGAATGCTTTTTTATTTGATTAATGCTAGAGAATGTGTAATGACATTTGTATGCAAAATTGATGTGATATGCTGTGTTCTGTAGGTAAACCTCATGTATTAGTTAGTATTAACCAGCCTAGCTCTTTAACAAATCTTCAAATTTCAGCAAATTCACTAGTTCGTTTTTAAAGGTGATTGAGAGCCAGCTGAGGAAGAAGATGGCAGCGGTGAAGGAGCTCTTTTCTGAGGCCAGTGATGTTTTCAGACAGCTGGAAGCTGCCAAAGGGAAGGTGGCGTCTGATATTGCAGATCACCTGTCCTCCATTCAAACTATCACAAATGCACTGACCTCACTGACCACATCTGAAAGCCCACAGGTCCTCAACACCGTCCAGGTGAATGTTTATGCTTTAAGACTAATCTGTGAACACAGTCAAATGTAATGCAGCTGTGAGGTAATGCAATGTAATGCTGCTGTGCAGTATGCAGTGAAGTTCAGTTTTGGCCATTTTGGTCTACATTTGGCTCTCTCAATGGCTCTGTCACATACTGTACTTGAATTTAAATTAATTTAAATCCTCAATCAGTTCACCTAAAAAAATTTTTTTGATGAGCTAAGCCTACCCTTTTGACTGACAGGGCTTATCGGAGAAGCTGCAAGCAGAGGCAGAGCAGGTTGATGCATTACTGCAGCAGATAAATCTTCTGGCCAGCATTGCAGGTCTAGAAAACCTGCGGGCGCTGGCTGAAGATGGAGCTCAACTTCAAGAAAGCATCTGCGTGGCTAGAGGGCTGGTCACAGAGAAGAGAGAGCAAGCGATGAACCCCAACAGACCTGAAAATCCTCAGATGGTCCGAGATCCCAAGCACATCAAGCCGTGGATAAAAAAAACAGAAGATACTGCGCCTGAGATGCAGTGTGAATCTAATGGTAAAACAGAGGAACAGTCACATGGAGGCCAGACACAAGAGCAGGCCTGCATCTGGGCCAGTGAACTGCATCTGAAGGCCGATTTTCAGGTTTCTGAGGATGAGAACAGACAGATCACACTTGAAGAGAAACTCACAGCTGTGCAGGTAGTTTTCTTGTCAAGGGTCTGTTTGTTCTCAAAGGGTGTGCATTTTTAAAGTGGCCTGAACTGAAATATGAACATTTTTAGCTTTGAGAACTAGAATAAATTAGTTTCTTGGTAACTACTTCAGTAGTTATCGGAGTTATTCACTGTTTGTTTACAGCAATTTAAATTCCATTTCACTCCGTCATATAGTGATCTGAATCACTAAAGGAAATTTATTTTTGAACAGCTCATTTCTACTTGCCCTGCCTATTATAATATAATATAATATAATATTAGGTGTTTAATTTGCAATAATATCTGAACAAATTGTAAATGTAATGTAACTCCATAAAAGGTTCTCAGACATCTTTATCTGCTGCACAGTCCTGTTTACATGTAATTGTGTTAATGTTTTTGTTCAGGATGTGTGTGTTGGTCTTGGTGAGAGTATGAATGAGGAGCCGAGGTGTGCAATGTTAATACAACAGAGCCACGAGAGTCTGGACTCTCTACAGGGCCGGATAGAGGGCAGTTCTCATGACTTAAATGCTTTAAAGGTAAAAGACGCAGACAAAAAGCATTCACCCACAATCATACATACTCATATGTAAAATACTGTACCACTACACTTACATTTTTGCTTCGTTTTAGAAATGTATTCATTACTAACACCTCACCAGGGTTATAGTTTCATCCTTTTCAAATTAGTAATTTTCAAAGTATTGAATATTTTAAATGTTGATTTAAATTCGGTTAAGATTTAGTTCACTTCAGATAAGCTATATCTTTTACATTTAAAGCCTTCTTTAAACCACAATGGAGATGATAGTCTCCATTAGCCCTCTCCAGTCGTCTAATGTAATGAGACTAACTGCCTTGATGGATTCTCGGTAGGCTCCAGAACAAGTGGAAGGAAATCTACTAGAGGTTGAGAAACTGTCTGAGGTCCTGCAGACAAGCTGTACTCCAGAGGGTCAGACTGCTCTCTCCCAAGATGTTTGGACGCTGTTTGGAAAGACTCCAGCCCTGAGGAAGATCTTGGAAGAGGAGAGGACTCAGGAAGGGAACTCTGATCCAGTTCAAAGTTCCATTCAGTGCATCAAGGCTCAGCAGCCTGGAGTATCCACAGAGGAGCTCCAGTCAGTTCAGGTTAGTTGTGGTGTCTCTTTTGCACAGGAAGTGTTCGGGAAAATAAAATGTTTTGAGTGGTTTTAGTACATTTAGGGACCGATCACACACAACGCATTTTTTTTTTTTGCATTGATGCTAATATGACAGTTTCTTTAACAGCAAACCAAAGATTTTAGAGCGCTTGTACTATAATCCTTGTTTAGACTGACAGGACAGCTGATTTGGTGGTTGCCTAGCAACAAAAAAACAAAAGTCAGTGCAGTGCGCCTTTCGTTTTCAAACCTGAGTTTTCTGTCTGATCAGGGCCTTAATAAAGTACAATTAAGCAATATCAGTTGCCTTTATTGTTCCAAACCTGTATGACTGACTTTCTTCTGTAGAACAAAAAAAAGAGGATATTTTGAAAAATATTTCAAAATTTTTTTTCCATACAATGAATGTAAGTGGGGTCCAAAACAACACTGGACCCAATGACTTTTATTGTATGTACAATACTGAGACTTTTTCAAAACGTCATTTTTTTTCTGCAGTAGAAAGTAAATCGAATGAGTTGAGGGTGAGTAAACAATGACAGAATTTGTGTTTGAAGAGGAATCTCTTTTCTGCAATTATTCTTTGACAGATATGCACTTGCTTTTTCTTTCTGGGTCTGGTTTTGGGGCGGCAGGAGAAATGTCACTGCGGCGTGGGCACAGAATCACTCTATCCTAGCTAAAACCTGCTAAATGGAGTACCCACTCTGCTCTGCGTCTAGGGCCATTAATGTAGTATGGCACCTCATTGCTTTTAAGTGCTTGTTTTTTATCTGCTCTCTGAGAAAAATACTGGATATTCCTTGTTTTGCTTTGTGGCACATTACTTAAGCCAGGTGCATTTCTGATGTCATAGCTTATCTTTCGACTACATTATCAGCATTATTCTGCTCTGCCTGATGGTTTCTCAGTTTACTTAGAGAGTTGGAAAATGTGTGACAGTGGGTAGTGCACATGCTGATGCCATAAAGTAAAAACAGCAATATTTTGAAATATGATTAAACTTTAAAATAACTTTTGTTGGAGAGAGTGAATTGGAGTATAAGATGCAACTAAGTTACGAAGATAAGCAGGGCCTGTCCCATGAATAGTTTTAAATGTTAGAATCAAAATTTTAAATTCAGTACGTGCATGTAATGGAAGCCAATTTCAATTAAAAAAAATAATCAGGGAAATTTGCTGATGGTCAGTTGTGTAAGTCAGTACCCTCACGGCTGAATTCTGAAAATATTGCAATATCTTGATAGACTAATCAGGGAGACCAAAATAAAGTGCGTTGACATAATCAAGCCTCGACGAAACAAAGGCATGGATAAGCCTTTCTGCATCAGGCAATGATAGAGAAGGTCGAAGTCTGGCTATTTCATAGATGGAAAAATGTAGTTTTCGAGACCATTTTAATATGGACATCGAACAACATTTTCAGATCAAAATTAACACCAAGATTGCACACTTGAGAGGATAGAGTAACTAATTCAGTCAGTAATCAAATTGGAACTATTACATTTATGCAAAGCCGTTGACATGCCAACAAATAAAAGTTCAGTTCATTGATTTAGGCTATTTAAAACAAGGACAATTTAAGATAAATGTTGAAGTATGCAGTATTGTTATAGTTTTATTTAAAAAAAAAAACTCATATAAAAAATGTCCAGGAGCTGAATAAACGCACATATATTGCTGAATGAAGTTTATCAATATTGGGTCATAATAGTTATGTTTTTGTTTTGCAGGTTGCCGCTGACAGTGAAGTGGATGACAAAGATCGTATGAATGTAAAATTCTTGCCCACAAAGGAAATAAGTAAAACAGAAGATATATCACCTTGCTCAGAACAACAAGCAACCAAAGATTTTGAGAACCTTCCATCAGGACACGACACAAATAAGCAGCAGTCCATGTCTGGATCTAAAGAGAGGGATGAAACTGGATCTGTATTAAGAGAAGATGACCGCAAATTCACTCATGGCTCATCCTGTGAATCATTAAAGCCTGTCTTTACCATAGTGCTGGACTCTGATCTTACCAAATCCAACCAGATCCCACTGACACAACCTGTCCCAGCTTCTTCAACTAAATGGGATACTGTTTCAGTTGTTCATGATGGGACTGCAGAGACATCAGAGGATGGCTTGAAATTCTTGGAAGTCAAACCAAATATTGATGTAGCTGTAGATGAAGAACATGCTGTAATAAGCTCTTCTGATGAACCTGTACATTTATATGCTGATCTTTCAACATCAGAAGTGCAGTTTAAAGAAAACAGCCACACCGACAACACTGAACCCACTCATTCTGCTCTAGACCTTGATTTCAGACCTAAACCAGAGAAGGACTCATCTACTCAAGCATTTGACCCAATGCTTTTTTACCCAGAGAAGTATCAAGCAAGCTCTGGAACGGCTAAGAAAGTATTTACCATCATCCTGGATGTTGATACTCCTACATTATCATCAGACGGGTATCAATTACTGCAAGAGACACAATGTACAGGTCCTGATGACTCAACCACAGATGAATTCTCCCATTCAGATGTAAAAAATCAACAGAAGAACTCCTTTGGTACTGAGAAACATGAAGGCAGAACGGCTGAACTAGGTCTTTCAGAAAAGTTCAATGTGAAATCAAGTAGCTCTGAAATGCAGCCAGGACAGAAGGAAGCTCCGCTTATCCAACCCCAAACCCCTGAGATCATAGAGATTGACGTTCAAAAAGATGAAAAAGAGAAGCAACATGAAGTCACTGATGCAGAAGCATCAAGCCAAATGGATGTCCACACTGGAGAAGGCAGTGAGTCAGGGTCTGTAGTTCACCAGCAGGATGTCCCAATGTTGGAGAGTCATGATGAGGATGACAACAACACCTTTGAAGAGCCTTCAAATGAAGCAAACACACTTCAAAAGCCTCCAAAAGTTGCTAAAGGTAGGAAGAAGAAGAGAAAACCAGTTGGTGCAGAAAAAGCAAACAGTATCCGTAATAAAAAGCTGAACACATGTAAATCTGAACATAAGAACACAACTCACTCAGAAAGCCTTCAAACTTCAGAGGTCAGGCTGTCGGATGCCACCGATACTGCCTGTGTCAGTACAAAGACTGTGTCTTCAGACTTCAGTCAACCAAACACTGCAAAGCCATTGAGTACAGAAAACAAACTAACAGTGGACACTGTGCAGAAAGAGACCTTGAATCAAACTGAGGATGGACATTTTGAAAACATTAGCATCTCACTTGCCGGAGATGCCCATATTAATACCACAGATATGGTTTTAGCAGCAGTGGAGTCTGTACAGTCAACACATACAGAGGACTCAGAACTAGCGCCAGAAGATTCTTCATCTGATAGTATAACACAATTTTCTACCACAGTCCCATCAGAGTTACAACTCGGCCATACTGAAGCTCAGAGGACAGAGGATTCAGATGGCAGTTTCCATTTGCAGGTAAGATTCACATAGTTTTTTTTATTTTTTTTATAAATTCTTCAAAAATGCAGGCCAATCTATTGCACGTGTCATGTGACGTCACTCACAAAAACCTTGGTGGTCATGTTCAGTACCTGAATGAAATGTTTTTTCAAGCACTTTTAATGTGCCTTTTGTTATTCAAAACCTTTTTAAACTTATTTAACGATTCAGGATTCAGGAGGACATCATTTGTAATATGGCACATGGGTAGTGAACTTGCAATGCTTTTGCTACAAGCAGAAAATTATTTCTTTTCCATGTTCAATTGATGCCTTTTCATTTTACATTTTACACCATTCACAGTTCATTCAAAGAAGGAAATTGCTAAAGAATATCAGTGAATAAAAATCATTGAAAGGATTTTAAAAGCTCTATAATTTGCACTGAGACAATTACATTCATTTTCTCCTTTTGTAGTTGATGTAGGCTCATGGTTTCAAAAAATGATCTGAAAGAACTTTCATCATCTGAATGTGTCATAATTATGCCAAGCTGTGCAAAAGACTGGCATTGACCATTTTTATTTGCACTCAAAGCAATTAGTTCAACATTTGTGAATGTTGTTTCCTTGCACTTTTTGCCATTGGAATTTAACAGTCATATTACACCAAAATATTATTGAATGAATCCGTGAGATTTATTCTATTCTATTCCCCGTAGGCATCATTCCTGTATCATTCCATGTGTTGGCATTCTAATAGATTTAACCCTCTAGCCTTTATCATGGTTACTGTATATTGTGGCACTTATCCATTGCATATTGCTTTGATATCAGGTTATGCAGTATTGTTTCTGTGAGCAAGAACTTCATTAGGCTTCGTTATACCAACTACTTTTAGTTAGCGTTACTTCCTGCAGTACCGCCTCCTGAGGTTGTTTTAGGCTTGAATGCACACCACGCCTTTAGAGGGAAGACTCAATTCCCAACTTGGCAGCATTCCTTGCTCTTCTGACACCGTGACTTAACGAGTCAAAACCAGAGCTGTTTCCCTTTTAAATGAGCAAACAATGTTGTTTGCTGTGCAAGCAATGTTGTGGTGAAAATTTTCACTGAAATATAAACTGACACTTTTGCTTTGTTGTAGTATGAAGAAATGCACAGAGCAAATTCAGATTCATCTGCCGGGAACAAAACGTCCCAAAACAGAGGATCAGGAGCAGACGGTGAGGATCAAACGAGGCATGCGGAGCAGCCTACTGGGACACATGTGTGGGCCACTTTACTGAACACCATCACTAATGTTCAGCCCCTTCTGATCACCAGTCACGGTACTGAGGTATGTATACATTATGATTTTGTTTATGAATTGAACTAGAAAAACTCAAGCAGCGTTACTTCCTTCAGTACCGCCTCCTGAGGTTGTTTTAGGCTTGAATGCACACCACGCCTTTAGAGGGAAGACTCAATTCCCAGCTTGGCAGCATTCCTTGCTCTTCTGACACCGTGACTTAACGAGTCAAAACCAGAGCTGTTTCCCTTTTAAATGAGCAAACAATGTTGTTTGCTGTGCAAGCAATGTTGTGGTGAAAATTTTCACTGAAATATAAACTGACACTTTTGCTTTGTTGTAGTATGAAGAAATGCACAGAGCAAATTCAGATTCATCTGCCGGGAACAAAACGTCCCAAAACAGAGGATCAGGAGCAGACGGTGAGGATCAAACGAGGCATGCGGAGCAGCCTACTGGGACACATGTGTGGGCCACTTTACTGAACACCATCACTAATGTTCAGCCCCTTCTGATCACCAGTCACGGTACTGAGGTATGTATACATTATGATTTTGTTTATGAATTGAACTAGAAAAACTCAAGCAACTTTCGGCAAATTAAACATTTGCACTTTTGAGACAAAAAATGGCTTCAGAAAAAAAGTACAGTTTGTATTTCTGTATCTGTTATAAGTTAAAACCAAGATTTACTTTTGCTTTCAAATATAACTGACTATTATCTGTTAATCAACTCATTTTTAATCAGTCTTTGACTGTAAGACCATATATTCCCTCAAGGATTCTGGGAGGAAATTGCAAAGGAAGGAGAAATTTCCTGTGCTATTTGCTGCTTTTATCTGTACCATTTTCTTTCTGACTGTTTAAAATTTTTCACTATAGTTTCAAATTTTAATACTTAAAAAAATATATTTTTTTTCAGGAATCTAGACCAAGGAAAGATTCCTGGCTTCAGAACTCGTCACTCTTAGAGTCTGACAGCGGTCTGGCATGGACTGTCCTGTGGGTTTTGAGATGTCGTTACAGACCTGCCCAACTTAGCATTGTACATATGGCTCGTCAGCTGGAAGAAATTGAGGTACAGTACATTACCTCATTGCACTGGTTTCTCCAAAACCTCCAGCTGTAAACAGCTGTTGACAGTAGTGGTTGTCAGTACTAGTCATGAAGATCCAGGCTACGTCCACATTAAACCGTTAACATTCAAATTATTTTTCGTTTCAAAACATTCTCCATCCACACTAGCGTTTTCAAGTGTTTTCCAAAAGTTTCTCATCCACACTGAAACGTCGGAAAACATTACATTTACCTTACTGCGCATGTGTAAAACCTCATAAAAAGCTCACTGAGATGATACAGATGGAGCAGACATAAGTTTTCATGCAATTCTTCTAGCACTATCATTTTATTTACGAAAATATCCCAACATTCACTGGTGTCCAGGTCACACTCACTCACTATTTGTTTGATGTAAAATGCAACTGCCCTCATGTTTAGCCGCAGGACAGCAATTGTGAGTAAATTTCTGTCATCTTTGCAGGACTGTAATATGAAGAGTGTACAAAGTAACATATCATTAGCAACAGTGTGAAAATAGCACATAACAGGCATAATACCGTTATAAACCGATATCTATTGGTCAATGCACGTCACATGACTAAACATGCGTCATCGTTTTCAAAAACCTAAGTTTTCACAGTCCACACTACAATACGAAAACGGCGTTTTCAAATTGTATCCACTTTGGAGAGCGTTTTCAAAAAGCTCTGTTTTCCTTGACAAAAATGCCGTCTCCGTGTGGATGGAAGGCCAAAACGGAGAGAAAAAAATGCGTTTTCAAACTAAACTGTATTAGTGTGGACAATGCCCCAATCTACCATTTTTCAAAAACAGCCCGAACAGTCCCTCGCTACACCCAGGAGATGTCTGATTACAAAACATATGACTTAAAATGAAGATTTCCAGGTCACATGTAATCAGATTTGTAACTGATTATGTCAACTCCTTTGTTTAAAAGGTCAGATGTTCTTGCTTCCATTGGAGCTCAAGATGATCTTTAGGTCATCTCAAGTCATGCTGGTGAACATTATCATGTTTTACATAAACTTTTGGAGTTGATGCAGCTCGAGTGCTCCTGTAATTAAAGCAGAAGGGACAAACCAACTACAAAAACCTTCTGAAATTCACATGCGTTCCATGTATTGTGTATGCAAAACTAGTTTAAATCTGGCTCACAAGTGAAACTTTTGAATTATAACCATTTAAAATTACAGTAACAAATGTTATGTCATGATATCTGTGTGTCATAGATCTGCCGGCAATATGTCCTGGAGCAGGTGTCTAGACTGCCTCAATGTGAATCTAGTGCAGGACGCTCCACAGAGCTTGAGATGAGCATAGAGGACAGATGGAACAGAGTACTGCTGGATACCTCAACCATGGTGGAGTTCAAAAAGGCACAGCTCCAGCAGGCCACACAGTACCACCAGCAAAAACGGGTTCTCACGGATACTCTACATAACCTGGAGGCTGAGCTCAACACAATGACACCGTGAGCATCCTCGACATTTTCTGTGTGTGTGTGTGTGTGTGTGTGTATTCAGGAAAACCATACATTATGAGGAAAAAATGTCCCCACAAAGATGGCAATATCCAAAATCCTTGTCCTTGTGGGGACATTTTTTGGTCCCCATGAGGAAAATATCATATCAATCATACAGAATGAAATTTTTTTTTTATCTAAAAATGCAGAAAGTTTTGTGGGTAGGGTTTAGGCTAAAGGGACAGAAAATACAGTTTGTACAGTATAAAAACCATTATGCCTATGGAATATCCCCATAAAACATATATACATACATACATACATATACATATACATATATATGTACACATACATATGTATAGCTTGTTTAAAATTAATTGTAAATGGTCAATGAAGTAAACTGTTGGAAATAGTCATAATAAAGAATGAGTGGGTGTGTCCATTACAGTACTGTACCTGTATTGATAGTGTAGATGTTGTACAACAATGAAAAGTAACTACATTGTTCTGACATTTATGAAGGGATTGCATTGACAGCAGCACCTTGCAAGTGGAGAAGCTGAATGCATTCCTGAAGAACATGCAGAAGAAGAGAGGCATACTAGAGGAACTCCTACAGACATGCTCTCAGATTTCAGCCCATCTGGATGAGGCAGAGGGACCTGTGGCCTGCATTGAACCTTTCAGGACTTTACAGGAGAGATGGCAAACTATAGAGCGGGTTGCCTCCAGCAGTCTGTGGTGTGCTAACATCTGCACAGCAGAAGTATCTGCACTCCTGCAAGAAGCCAGAGATCTGCACCATGAACTGGAGCTTCTGGAGAAGTCAGTTTCTCTTCCGCATCCCTCTCGAGGACAGATGGACTGCCGAAGTGAGCTACAAGAAACTGTCAGATCTGCAAACCTGACAGCATTAGCGGAGCTCTACGTGTACCTTCTTGAGGTCTCTCAGGCTCTTTCCTCAAGTCCGCTGGGAAAAAAAGAGCTCAGAGATGTGGAGGACGCAATGCAGGGCCTGAATTCTCAGCTTGCTCTGACTCAGGAGACGCTCAGCTCTCAGACTTCGAATGGCAATGGCTGTTCACCGATCACGAGGATTATCAGGGACTACGTTACATGGGCTAAACATTCGGAAAGCAAAGTCAGCAGGAGAAGGAGGTTGGCTCTGTTTCCTGAAGAGGCGAGTCACCAGGTCAGCCACATGAAGAAACTGCAGTCTGAAATATCTCTTAAGAAGTTTCAGTTGGCCTCTGTATTGAAAGAGCTAAGAGAGGAAGTTACAGGACTTGACAAGGAGGATTCCATGTCTCCCACCCTTGCTTCCCTAGAGGATTTGTATGTTAAGATTACAGAGAAGACCGAATGTGCTGTTGCAGAAATGAACAGAATGTTTCATATAAGAGAGAGACTGTGGAAACAGATCACTGACAGCAGCTCTTGGTTAACCTCAGTATTAGAAAAAGAGTCTGGTAAAACAGTGGCTTCTGAACCTAAAACTACTATCCCAGAATTGAGGGTTCAGCTTCAGGTATGCACAGAGGCTTTGAAGGAAGCTGAGAGACAAGCAAATAACTTGGAGACTCTGTTAGATGAAGTAAAAAGTGTGAATCACGGTCTGAGTGTACTCGAAAGCTTTCAGCTTATCAATAGGCTAACAGCCTTACAAGAAGAGGTCTCTAGGGTTGTGAACCGTAAGTGGGCCTTGCACTGGGTGCTTGAAGAACTCCTTCATGCTCAGGAATCTTCTGCTGAGGAACAGAACGTTATTCTGAAGAGCTTGAGACAGATGAGTGCTGATGTCATGAGGCAGAAGTATCCCGTAACAAGGGACTCGCTCTTGGCTCTTGAACCTGTTCAGCACATTCTGATGGAGCTCCTGTGCAAGGTGCCGGAAATTCCACACTGCCCAGATTCTCGGAGAAAAGAGATGCTCAACGCTGTACTAGACCTACAGAGGAGAATGCATCTGCTGGAGTTGCAAGCCAAAGAGCATGAGGAGTGCCTCATTTTAAGGCAGCACATAGAGAACTCCAGAGAGGTGGTGAAGAAGAGCTTGTCGCAGATTGTAGACTCGAGTGTAGGAGCTGACATAAGGCTCGGCTTTTGTCAGGCTGTCCTGGTGGAGCTACCTCTGGTGAGAATGACATGTCAAGAGGCCGCTGACCACCTTGAGGCCATTTCGAAAGATCTCTATCCATCCCAGCTGACAGCAGAAAGGCAAAAAATCAGTTTGGTCATTGAGCAGCTCGCCTCTTGGGAGCTCACAGTAAAAAATGAGGCTAAAACCCTTGAGTGCTTTCTTGCGAAGCGACTTGGGAGTCCTACAGACCTCAGTCCATTCACTGAGCTCTTCAACAGTGTCAGGCAGCAGCTGAAGGAGAGCATCTGCTTGGAGCCAGATAATGAGACCATTGATGCAGAGCTACGAAAGCACTGGATGCGAATCCAGACCGTTGAGTCTGTTCTACGAATGCTAGAGCACTGCAGGAAAGCAGTAGATGCTGAAAGCTACCAGACGACCACTGGTCTTGGCCAGAAAACTCTTAATGATTGCGGTATGCATATGGTAAGCTCCATGCGTCCGTGCATTTTAAAATCACTAATACCACTAGAATGCTACTTTTGTAACCATTGTAGTTTTCTTCAAGTATGCATGTGACAGCATTGGTATTTTTGAGGGCTTTTTAGTACGACTGTGTATAGATTTGTGATTTGATTTGTTTTGTGATTCTGATTCATTTGGTTATATTTCACTTATATATAAATTTTCGCTGTTTTCTAGTGTTTTATACTGATTCAAACTAGTAACTCCTCTTTTTGAATTATTCATTAAAAGAATCTGTTTAAAAGAGTCAATCATTTCTGGTCAAACCAGTTGTTTTTGAATTGGATTATACTGGTTCTGTTTTGTTTGTTTTTACATGCAGCCCCCGACAGCTACTTAATAGAAAGACATTTATTGCCATTAATTTCATGGTACACAGATTTTTATTAATTTTTTTTTTTACATTAGATGTAATACAGACTGTGAAATCTGCAGCAGCGGAAGTGCTATACAAACAGCAATATATCTTGGAGTTTTAAAACTCGATATTGGGATTGTTCAAATGAAAATCACGATCATTTGGAAAAAATTTATATTAAACCCATCTCTAGTTTTTAGAAAACTATGTGTGTTGTTTATCCAATTTCTAAATTTGTGTTTCACTGTCCAGGACAAGCTGCTCCAAGCTCGGGAGGCACTGAAGCATTACCACTGGGCTGTTCAGAGTGCAGAGAGCTTCTTTCAGCAGATTGGATCCAATCTAATGATCCCCTCTGATGGCTTCAAAGGCTACAAAGAGCAGCATCGCTATATTCAACAGATTTTCAGCACTCTGGTTGAGGGTTTCCAGGCCCGCTTGTCTGAAGTTGGTGCTTCTGTTCCCCAGCAGACATGCCTCTCCATCCCTCTAACCGAGCAGCTTCATATTGAGGTTTTGAGTCACCTTATAGTACAAGATGCCAAATTAGAATCTCAGGCTCAGCTCAGACTTGAGGCCTTACAGAGGTTGGTCATACTCTATAAAGCACGCTATGGATTGTTTTTCTATAAAAACTTAATGACCTTGACCTATGATTCAGATTGTTGCATTCACAGTTCCCTCCGATTGTTGTTGACATTTTCATATCAAATTGGAAGATCATTTTATAATTGTAAATAGTGGGGACTTGACATGTTTGGATTATTGGGAGGAAATATTTCTACAATAATCAAGCATTTTCTCAGAAAGCTCTTTAAATGGTACCACATACGGTAGAGTACTTGAAAACATTTTCCTCAGAAAACAAGCCCTGAAACGATTAGTCTGGTTGGAATACATTTATTTGGTTAAATGAAATGTACTAGAGGCAGTTTTATTTAGCTGCCTTAAAGGTTCAATCTTTCTGCTCCAATTTAGGTCCATGAAAGACCAAATTGTTCACATGAGTCACCATGAAGAAATGAGCCAACTTCTCAAAAATGTTGATTCTCGAATCTCTAGTCAATGCTTAAGTCAAAAACCGACTGATTCCGAAGCCTGCCAAGATCAACAGCGGAAAGTAAAGGTTTGTGGTCATTATATACCATTAACAGTCACTTAATTCCATTTTGTTTATCATGCATGTTGTGATTGGTTTAAATGTGTTGCAATAATGTCTATGGAGTTCTTAAGATGATTTGGGGAACCAGTGAAAACTTGCTTACGCTTCCCTTTTGACTCCTGAAAATGAGTTTTTCTTGGTTCCTTGTGCCACTTTTTGTCTCTTAACACTGCAAGTATGCTAGATTAGTGTGCACTGAAATTGTCTTCATCTGCAGTTGCTCCAGACAGAGCTAAAGAACCTCGCTAAAAGGCTGGAGGAATTGAGGGAAAGTTGCCCAGGTCTACGCTGCAAAGCACCTGTGGATCTGATGCTGGGACAGCTGTGGAGGTCTTGGGCAGTGCTGCAGTGGAGATTAGAATCACTCAAAGCCAGCACATCTTATAAAGAAGCAGAGTGGAGAGACTTTGTGATACGTGTATGTATAAATAGATTTTATTTAATTGTTTTATTTTATTTATATTTAAAATGTAATTTCCTTATAAAATGATTAATGAAGTGAGCTGTTTGATAACTCGTTTCTCTTCATGTTTGGGTCTGCTGTGCAGCTGAATAAATCAAAGGAAGGTCTTGACAGACTGCAGAATGATCTTCCAGACTCCACTATGGTGGCGGGATCCCTGGTGGATCTTCAGGTTGTTCTGAGCCTCACTGAGCGCCTTCAAGATGGGATTGAGCAGGAGCATCACACTTTGGCATCTCTACAACACCATGTGGCACGATTGCTTGGGGTCTCAAATTTGCAGCAGCTGAAAGTGTGCCCTCAAATCTGCCAGGACTTGCAGTCTTTACAGGGTCACTGCAGAAGGTATGACTTATACACACAGACACATAAACGCATATATGTTAAGAAAATGTTCTGAATCTATACTATTTACAAAGCTTCTTTTTCATGCGTAGCCTCAGAGATCAGAGCAATAACATCCGTCGGGAGGTGCTTTTTGAGATCCAGGAGTTGGGTCGTGTGCAGGAGGAGTTGAGTGCCATTCAGCAGAATGTTCTCTCTCTTTTGGCGGTTTTAGAGTCAGAGTCAGCTGCTCAACACTTACAGGTTGGTGCTTGTGTTTGACAGTCAAGGTGTCTGTTTCTGCAGTCCTTGGTGTTGATATTGCATTCATTGTGTTTTATTGCACTGTAGGAAGTCAAAATGGAATTGGTTTCACAGAAGGCTCGACTGCAGGATGTCATGGACAGAGTGCAGAAGAAATGGAGCTGTGTACCCTCAGAGATTCAAATCTTACAGAATGAGCTCGACGTCTCCATGCAGGAGGCTAAGGACAAAGTAATTCTAAAAAAATAATAATAATAATAAAATAAAGATAAAGCAATAAAATAAAGCAACGCCTTGAACATGTGAAAAAGAACATTTGTTTGCTAATCTTTTTAAAAATATATATTTAAAATGCCACCTATAGTTTCAGTATTTGTGTGTTGTGTGTTAATTTAAATTAAAGCTAATACAGTTGTAACTCTTTATTTTTTTTTCTTCAGTTGGGCATGGTCATGGAGAGAAGTGGTCCTCTCCGTAAAATGGGTGAGCTGATTGGAGAGGTGACCGTAGGCTTGAATTGTGTGCAGGCCCTGCTAAAAAAAACAAGTCCTAATTTTTCTGAGGCCGAACGTACACAAAAGGTACTTCTTTCTTGCTTGCCTTCACATGCACATTATTGAAATTTTCTGTCAGTTGCTTCGTTTTTTTTTCTCTCTCCTTAATTAGTTTTGCGTATTATTAAAAAAAATCATTATTCTTTTATTATATTCTTACTCTGTAATCTTAAAAATAAGTATAAAACAAACTAATTATAGTGCCGTATTCATTGTAAACAATGTTTATTATAAACCGCAAAACTACTTCATGTAAAGCAAAACTGAAACAACCGGTGTGTGAGTAATGTGCTGTACAAATAAAGAATAAGGAATACACTACACACCCAGATTTTTGCTCTGATTTACAGTCTGGACAAGTTGACGCTAGTTGCTGAAAATCACAGCCAATCTGCAGATCTGAGTTGTCGGATTACATAGAAAATGCTGTAGGGTATGATGGTAACAGACTCTTAGGGCCTGTTTACACCTGGTCACTTTTTCTCTGGTCGCATTTTCTCTGATCGGATATCTGTCTGATTTGTTGAAACGGTTCCATTTACACCTGACCATATAAATGTGTGTCCGCAAAACGGATATAAATCCAATCTTCAATTCCCACGCTACAAATTTAACGGAGTTCACACCAACGAAAGCAACAGATGTGCACTGCTTTTTATTCATCATCAGCTAATTTCAATATTAAAGACCGCAACAGGAGAGAGAGCGGCATCAGCACTAGAAAGATAAGTTAGTCTTACTACTTTTAATGAAGATGATGTGTGTTGACGCCTGCGACTTCCGTTTCATTTGTGGCAGTTTGCGTGTCGGCTTGCTGAAGAGGTAATCAGCTACTCATCTGCGGCGATGCGCGTTACATTAGCGCTGTCATATCTGGCTATGACATGTCATATAGCCTATAACACACTCTCACACGTTTATTATTCCTGCGACTTACTTTGTTTCATTTGTGGCAGTTTGCGTGTCGGCTTGCTGAAGAGATAATCAGCTACTCATCTGCGGCGATGCGCGTTACATTAGCGCTGTCATATCTGGCTATGACATGTCATATAGCCTATAACACACTCTCACACGTTTATTATTTTAACATTGTGGGAGGACTAAAATTTAGATATGTGATTTCAACAACCAGATGCATTTACACTTGTCCAGTTTCGTCTGGAATGCATCCCAGACCACCTCCTGAAGTGGTTTAAGCGATCAGATTTAAATCCGCCTCGAAAGTGTTTCAAAGGGCATTCACACTCTTTTCATGATCGGATAGCTATCTGATCAGAGAAAACTCATGAAGTGACCAGATATAAACAGGCCCTTACATTTTTTTTTAGCTTCAGACTATGAATCCATCCTGTCAGTCCTCCAGTGATCCTCAGTTGTTTAGTGTATGATGGCCAGTTTTTCCTTTGTAACTATTTACAACGTTGGCAAGTATATGGTGCATAGTGTTTTAAAATCTTTTTAGTTTTTAAAAGTCTTAGTGTTCCAGCCTCAAACCTGGGCTCACATACTTATCCCAAATGTGTGTGGTTTGCACGTTTTGCATGCTCGATGTTAGTTGCATTATATAAGTCGCTTTGGAAGTCTTGGCACATTTTAGATAATAATAATAATAAAAATATATTCAGGAAAATGTTTGTATAGAGAGAGAGAGAGAGAGAGAGAATGTGAACACTTGTGAACAAAACTTCTGTAAAGTGCTTTTTACTGTTTCACTTTTAAAATGTCTAAAATTCTTTACTTTTAAAATGTACAATAAAAGTTTAGTTAAAAAAAATGAAAATAAAAGTACAAAATTAAAATATTGAAGCTTTCATGACATATTGCATGAACTGTTCTTCCAGCTCTGTCATTTTTAATTTGTGTCCAATGAAATATGATGTCAACAATAACTGCGGTCTGATGTGCATCTGTGCCTGTGTGTGCAGCGTATATGGGATGAGCTGGACCAGTGGCACACGCGGATAGCTGAGCTGGAGGCTGAGGTGCAGGATCTGGCTGAGCAAAAGCCTGAGAGAGAACACGTCCTAATGGACCAGCTCACGGAGCCTCTGCAGCTCTACCAGACCACAGCAAAACAGGCCGAGCAAAGGACCGCCCTCCTCAGCAAAGTCAGATGTTACCCATAATCATGATTTCACAACAAAAACCAACACATAATGCCACTGATAGCAAACCTTGACTGATTATGTCTTTGTATTTTGGTCCCATCAGATCCCTGCCTGTCTGCAGGACTATGAGGGTTTACTCAATAGCTCCAACTGCTGGTTGAGAGAGGCTCAGTCCTGGCTGGTCGCTCCCAGAACCTACACCACTGCGAAATGCATCCACTGCCACGCCAACTCCCTCAAGGTCAGGTCGAAACCTCACATTAAAGCCATTTTGCTTTTGTGTATAACTTGTTAGCAACTCATGTGATGTGTCTGCAGATGATGCTGGATGACTCAGAGGGATACAGGGCAGCTCTGGAGGCCTTCCTGCCTGCCCTGCAGGAGATCACTCTGGTGTGTGACACCAGCCCTCAACAACAACTTCTCCAACTGTGTATACAAAACATCACACTCATACAGCAAAGCGTTCTGGAGCCTCTCTCCCACCTTCAGCACCTAGCAGCTGTAAGAACTATCATTACATTCCAAAAATGTTAAAGAAATTGTATTTACTGTTATATTTACTTATTGTCTAGGTATTGTCAAGCTTTGACACTGCAAATCCTAAGTTTTTAGTTGTATCAGTTCCAGTGAAATTTCATGATTCCTGATTTCAGTTTTGGTACCACAACTTTTGAACAAAGTTCTTTTATACAATATATATATTAACGTAAGAATATTAAGACATTAAATCAAAACAATAGTGTGTGCATAGCCTTCAAGTATTTCTCAGTTAGGAAAACATTTTTGTGAACATAATTAATGACACTAATGAATAAATATGAATAAAGTAAATGATGCTTGACTTTTTCAGTAGAACCAAATGTTCAAGAAGAGCAAATATTTTCGTTTTTTTTTCTGTTTACATAAAATGTGCACTACTGTTCGAAAGTTTGGGGTCAGCAAGGTTTTTTTAATGTTTTTGAAGGAAGTCTCTTATACTCACCAAGGCTGCATTTATTTTATCAAAACTATACTAAAACAGTATTGTGGAATAAATTGTTAATATATTATTATATATTATTTTTGTGAAATAATAAAATATTTACATTTTAAAATCTAATTTATTCCTGTGATGCAAAGCTGAATTTTCAGCAGCCATTACTCCAGTCTTCAGTGTCACATGATGCTTCAGAAATCATAATAATTTGTAATATGCTGATTTGCTGCTCAAGAAACTAATTTATTATGTTAAAAACAGTTGTTCTGCTTAATAATTTTGTGAAAACCGTGACACGTTTTCTTTAGGTTTTTTTGATGATGAGTTCAGAAAAACAGCATCTATTTGAAAGCGATTTTTTTTGTAACATTGTTTTTACGTTCACTTTTGATCAATTCAATGCATCCTTGTTGAATAAAAGTATTAATTTCTTTCAAAAAAAAAAACTGAAGGAAATCTGATTTTATTTGCATTAATACATCAAATGGTGTCATAACATTAAAAAACAAACAAACAAAAAAACCGTACTGAATTGGAAGTATTGGATCTTTTGATATCTGTAACAGTATATACTTAATTTAAAGGGTTTTATGAGGTTCCATTACTTGAATTACTTCCTAGTATATAATACTATGATGAAATTTCTTAATTATGTTGTCTATATTTTAATTGTAATTCACTTATAACTTGTTTTTAGGAGATGGACGCCATTGAAGCAGAGGTAAAGACAATGGAGAAAAATATAACTAAGATTAGAACAATTCTTTCGGCCACTGACACAGAGAACATTTTTCCTGAGGAACATCTTGAGAACATACAGGTACTGTACATCATGTCTCACTATTCTCTGTTTGGACTGTAAACATTTACAGTACCTCATATCCCTCCTATCCTCTGTAACAGGTCATTCTGGATAATGTCCAGTCAATGAAGAGGACCATTGATGAGATTGAGAGCTGCAGGCCAGGCCTGGGGCTTCCTGCTGGGGCAGAGCAGACTCTCACAGTCTTCCATCGGGCCCAAGAGCTCCTGCAGCCAATCCAGGAGCTACAGCAGCTCAGTGTGGAGCGGAACACCGCGTTAATGGTCTGTCGCTCTAATAGTTTGCTTGTGTTTACCAAGAGTCGAGGTTTCCCACTTACTGAGCTAGAGTGTGTTTGAAAGTGCCCCTATTATGCCAATTTCAAGGTTCCTAATATTGTTTTGGGAGTCTCCTACAATAATAGTTTTCTCAAAATATGCAATTAATATCCCTCCTTTCCGTGCGCCTGCTCTCCTCTGATTGGTCAGAAGGCCCAGTCTGTTGTGATAGATCTAACATTGCCATAGTTCATATTTTGAATGCTCGATAGAAAATATAAACCTCTATTATTTATCATACTTACAGGTTGTGATTCAGTGGAGCCAGCTGGTCCAAATAAACTGTGTGTTGAGCCATCTTTCAAGAGCAAGTGTTTTGTGAATCCCACGTTGAACTCCCCCAGATTAGAGAAGCAGTCAATTCTTTTTTCTTTTGGGAGACAATAACTTTATTTATTGTGCTTTACAACTTTACATATCATTAACATTAACATACAGCTACATTACACACTGCATGAAAGTCAATATTCGAAATGGCATAATAGGGGCACTTTAACTTATTTACTTCATGAAAAGCAGCTTTCAGTAGTTAGTGTTTTACAAATACCTTGTTTTTTACACATTAAAATGTTAAACTTTTACAACTTATATAAGTACAAAAGAAGACAAAGTTTAACATGCATTTTAATTTTTTTGTTCATGTTGAGCTGGCAAATTTAGCATCCCCCTCTCAAGTGACACCTACAGGAATGTATTCATTTATAGTGATTGCTAAATATAAAATACATATAAAACTTCCACAACTGGTTACCATTTTATTTAATTTCACTTAAAAAAAATTGCTATTTTCCAGATTATTTATTCCTGTGATGTGAATGGCTTTTTTAAAAGTTCAAATATTTCTTGTAGTCTTTACATTAAAGCTGCATTAGGTAACTTTTTTTTGTTTCAAAATTATCCAAAATCAAATATTGACCAAAACATAACCAATCAGTGTTCAAAACTATCTCCTTACTTTAGCCCGATTCACAACGGTAAGCTTGTAATGTTTTCTAATTTGAGTGGTTTGTGTCGGTTTCCGAGTTTGCCGCCATTTATCTTTGCGTCATTACGTCACGTCTAAAGAAGTAGTCCCGGCTAGTAGGCGATATTGCGTGTGTGGATGCTGCAGGTGGCGGAACATTTGTAGCCTTTTCTTACAGCAGCTGGAATGTCATTTTAGAATGAGTTCTAAGAAACATTAAATTGTTTTTTTGTGGTTAAAAGAACAATTACTTTTGATGACATTCGAATGATTGAAATCTACAAATAACGCTAACACGCACTAAATACAACGCAATGTTGATGTTAACATTAACAATTTGAGAACAAAGTATATCAATAATAATAATAATCACCATTGATAGTGTGATTTATTATAAAACTTTTTTTTTTAACAGCCAAAACTGTCAGACCTGTTACTTGTTCAGATGACATTTTCGGGGTGAAACTTCTTATTTTGGACATACTTCTAAGATGTAGTATATGTAATTCTGAAGTACAGTGAATATCCACACTGGTGCGTTAACTGACAGACAGCCCACACATACACCTCAAGTCATTAGATTCATCCGCACTGAGGAGCTGTCCCCGAAGCACAACCCACGTAAAGAATATAATTCCGCAATTAACTGCAATTGCAGATTTCAAACAGAGATGGCGACAAAGAGGAAAAACTTGCGTAAAGCAGCTTAATAAAAACTTCATACACAATAATTATTCAAATTTTTTTTTTTTCAAATTACATTTTAAATTAAATATGTAATGTCACATTGCAGGGCAATGCTTGAAATGGCATTATTAGAGGATAGATAACTTTTACATGAATTTACATGTTACATGTTACATGACATTGTCATAAAAGACAGCTATTCAGTTTCAGTGGGGGCATCTCCTTAATAAATAAATAAACAAATAAATATCAAGCTATGAAACAATCGTGATGAGTTGATAGTTGTCATAAAAGACAGCTATTCAGTTTCAGTGGGGGCATCTCCTTAATAAATAAATAAACAAATAAATATCAAGCTATGAAACAATCGTGATGAGTTGAAATTTTTTCAACCGTTCAAACACATCCATTTACAACATTTTCAGCAATCAAATAGAGAGATTTATAATGCTATATTTAAAATGGATATCAGTTCTAGTTAGATCATAATATGTGACCCTGGACCACAAAACCAGTCAAAATTTATACATCTTCTGAAAGCTGAATAAATAAGCTTTCCATCGATGTATGGTTTGTTAGGATAGGGCAATATTTGGCCGAGATACAATTATTTGAAAATCTGGAATCTGAGGGTGCAAAAAAATCAAAATATTGAGAAAATCGCCTTTAAAGTTGTCCAAATGAAGTCCTTAGCAATGCATATTACTAATCAAAAATTAAGGTTTGATATATTTACAGTAGGAAATTTACAAAATGTCTTCATGGAACATGATCTTTACTTAATATCCTAATGATTTTTGGCATAAAAGAAAAATCTATAATTTTGACCCATACAATATATTTTTGGCTATTGCTACAAATTTACCCAAGCGACTTAAGACTGGTTTTGTGGTCCAAGGTCACATATTAGTTCATCTTATGAAAGTGCAGTAAATTTGTAGTGTTTTTAGTGACCGTGACCGCCACGTAACCTCTGCTTTTCACTTTCATGTCTGTGGGAATGAGAGCATGAGAAAATCCCTGCTTTTAAAGCCAACTCAGAAAAGGGATGTGTGGGAACCTTGATTTATCTGATTGTGCTTAAAAAATAAAGTGCTTTAAAACTTTAATATGGTGTGGCAGTAAATCATTACAGGCATGGCTTTATTGGCAAAGGCAGTAGTATCTAGTTGAGAAGCTCATGATCTTTATCATATGACCTTGTAACAGTGACTTTGGTTTGCCCAAGTTTTACAACTTGATGAAACTAAGTATTTTATTGATTTTCTTTTCAGGCCTCTATTGGGCAACCAGCTGAAATGATTCTCCCTTCAGACCAAACCACAAAATTCACGATGCCTCATCTTTACACTGGAGATGTGAGGGTAAGTCCATCAACTCAATCAAAAATACACCTTAGGATCAGCTCAAAAGACATCTAAGATGAGGATGAGTAATTAAGACTAAATCAGCTCATTAGTTCTGTCACTATAAAAACCTAAAGAATAATATGTCCTTGCATAAAGCAGGTGTCCATGGAAGCCCCTTACACTGAGGAGGAAGATGAAGACAATCAGTCTTCATCCTCAGGAACTCTCACAAGCAGTATTCCAGAGGTAAAGCCCTCAAAACCTTCAATTTATCTCCCAGGCTGGATGCATCCCTTTGCCAAAACCTGAAAAGGGAACATTTCTGAACTCTTGTACACTCTCGAACTCTTTGCTATGGCTGTTCATTTGCATGCGTTTAATTTTTTATTTATATACATTTATGAATGGAAACTATTAATATAAATCTAATTATAAATAATAAATGTATATAATATTATAAGTTCATATTTTTTTATTTCTTTCTTTTTTAGATTATGCTAAGGTCTATTTTCTCTATAATTTCACAGGAATTGGTCGTAGATGCTTTTGTTAGTCCTGGAATTGCATTATCGCAATTATTTCAGCACTGTTGCTATTAGAGTATATGCTAAATTGCAGTCATTGCAGAATGCCGGATATAACTCCACTTCTTCTTTCAGTTACAGCTGCTTTCTTAATTTGTCTTTATGGAGCCTATTCTTCTAATACACTGGATCATCATCTCTAATCATTTCATCTAATAATTTTTCCTTTTTTCTGTACCAGGACCCAGATGAGACAATAGAGGAGGAAGATATTAAGACAGGCGCTGCCTCTGCTGTAACAGAGTGTGTCACTAAGGTAAAGACTGACCCCAACAAAGTTATCTGACTCTTTCTCTTTTATGGCAGACAATCATTCATTATCATTTTTCCTCACATTCCTCATTATGAAATGGATAGTTCCAACTGATTGGATGAGTGAGCCCTGCTCAAATTAATTGTAAAATGCCAATAAACGCACACACATGTAACTGTATATTCTGTGTTAATGTGCTAATTTGCTATAGTGCTTGGCAACCACAAGCAGCCTTCTGTTAGAATGATGAACTTAACTGTCATTCAAAAGATTGGGGTCGTAAGATTTTTAATGTTTTTGAAAGAAGGCTCTTATGCTCACCAAAACTGCATTTGATCAAAAATACAGTAGAAACAGAAATATTATTACAAGTTAAAATAACTTTTCTATCTGAATATATTTTAAAATGTATTTTATTCTTGTGATGCAAAGCTGAATTTTCAGCAGCCAATATTCCAGTCATCAGAATCACATGAACTTTCAGAAATCATTCTTAATATGCTGATTTCTTATTATTAGCGATGCTGAATTTATAGTTTAAAATTGCTTAATATTTTACATTTACACAATACAAACAGAGTGGGATCTATATACAATGAATAAACTCCATGAAATTAGCCCCAATGTTGGCTAATGTGCTTTTAGATACCTAAATACTTCCTTTAACCATGGTGAAATCACTGCACTGCTGCTAGTGGCTAACTGTTTTTTGTTTGTTTGATTTTAGGAATCATCTCCTGAAGAAGTAGTTGATTTTCCTGCAATTAAGCATGTAATACAGGACACTGACACAGGAAGTTGTTTACTGGAGCCTTCTGGCTTCTCTGAAATGCATGGCATAGACAGCAGACCAGTTACTGAAGATACAATTTCCCTACCTGCACTAACATCCCAACACTTAAAAGAATTTACAAATGATAGTTGTCTGAAGCCTGACAGTGCAAATATAGCTAAGGAAAAGCAAAACGAGTGCACAGAAACCAAGCTGACTGAAGCAGTACCAGCAAAGCCAGGAATATGCTCAGAAATCACCATGTTAAAAGTAAGAGATGCCAGTGAATTGATTGAAGAGTCTGAATCTGTAGATCAGAATGAAGTAACTGTAAACACAGAAACAGGTACACGTGATCAAGTGAAAACAACAGCTGCAAAGCCACCCAACACAGAGGCAGTAAATGTTACTGATGGTGACCAGACCCAGACAGATACTAAACCCATAGACGCCGCAGCTCCTCTTTTGCTCTCCTCCCAGCTTATAGAATGTGTGCCACAGGAAGATACACTGGTAATTCTATGTGAAATCTAGGTGTAAGCTCACATGTATTATTTCATTTCCAGTATGGTCCATGTTTTATATGACTAAATACTGCCTTTCTTACTCTTTAGGAAATACAGAGAGATCTGATTGAGGCCATCATTCACGAGAGCAGCAGCCAGTCTCAAGAACACACATTTCAGCACACAGCAACTCTCAGCGATCTGTCACAGTCTGAAGGAGGAGGTGAAGATCAAGAGAGTTTAGTCCAGCTTCTCACCTCATTGAAGGAAACTTCGGAGACCCTTGGATCATGTCAGGATATCAGCTCTTTCGAGGTCAGTTTCAGCCCTGCAAAAATGCTTACTAAAACCAAAGAACTACCCTGAGAGTGAACAAAAGTGTCTGTGTGCATTTTCTGTACTGTTGAAAATTTTTTGGTAAGACTTTTTAATGCTTTTGAAAGAAGTCTCTTTTGCTCACCAAGGCTGCATTTATTTGATCGAAAATACAGTAAAAACTAATATTGTGAAATATGATTACAATTTAAAATGTCTTTTTTGCTTTAATATATATTCAAATGTTTTTTTTCCTCTGAAGGCAAAGCTTTATTTCTATATATATTTATTTATTACACCACTCTTCTGTGTCACATGATCCTTAAGAAATCATTCCAATATGCTGATTTAATGCTCAATTCTTCTTATTGTCAGTGTAGCATTTATTTGAAACAGAATTATTTGTAACATTATAAATATCTACAGTATACTGTCACTTTTGAGCAACAAAATGCATGCTTTCTGAATAAAAGCATTAATTTCTTAAAAAAAAAAACTTACTGGCCCCAAACTTGAATTGTAGTATAGTTATAATAACTAAGAAGGGACAACATGTGTGAAGCAGTTAATCTGCAGTTTGGGCAAATGCAAGGTTATATTCATATCTAAAAAAAAATCAGACAAGTGGTTGACAGAAAACATTTCACAGAGGCTCTAAAGACTGATTCTGCCTTTCTGCATCTTCTGTTTCCTGCCTACACAGACGAGACAGCATCTGTCAGAGATTCCGGTGTCTGCGTTGAATGCCAGTGAATCACAGATGGGAGACTCAGACAAACTCCTCAAGGACCTTTCAAGCATCAAGGTATCACCAATTCACTTGCAAAGTCTACAGAATAAAATAAAACTTTAACAGAAAAAAAAAAAAAACTTTCCTTAGGTGGTACAATACTGTCTCCTCTTTACATCCCTACTCAATATGTAAATGACATTAGTAACATCCATTTACTTTGGAGTTTAATCCACAGCACACATTTTTAAGATTTATTTAACATTTACTTATTTAAAAGAAATAAATAAATACATATTGTCTGTATCTTCTCTTGGTACCTTTTGTCACTATAATAAGTGACCTTGCAAAAATGTTTTACTGTGTTTTTGGATTATTTCTGTAAAAATGTGTTAGAACTTTCCAAATACACACAAACATACTTTAGAAAAGTATGCAAAATTGTCTGATGACAGGGTAGACAGCAACAGTTGCAAAGGTAGGATTGGTCAGTAACGTTGGAAGTTCTGATCTAAGTGTTTGCTCTGTAAGAGTCTGCAAAGCGACACATGGACTTTGGCACTTGAGCGGCGGAGATCAGTGGGACAGAATAATGTTGATCTCCAGAGATGTTCTGAAGCTCTTCTGAACTGTCTGCGGGGTCTCCAGGAGCTGGGCTTTGAGCGGCTGCTGCGCAGTCAGGATGCACAGCCACAAAACTACAGTCAGCTGCACAGTCTGCTCACAGAACACAAGGTACACAGCTGACCAACTTAGTAATTATATTATTATTTATAAAAATAAAAAAAACTTTTTTTGACTTCTTAAATGACTCTAATAATGTTTGGAATTGAATGGTAACAGAAATGCTTCCAAGATTTGGGGCAGAACCTTGTAATGGTGAAGCTGCAATACCATAAGCTGCCAGAGGGGCCACTGCAGGCCCAAGCAGAGGTGGCGCATTTAATATCAGCTCTACAGGATCAAGCACAAACTCATGGTGTCCGAATGCAGCACAGCTTAGAGGTACAATAAAATGAACTTATTCAGACCGTAATGTTATCAATTGTTCCCATTTCATAACACTTTCTCATTATCGGTCATAATTTAGTCTTTTGTATCATCATTGCGTCAATTAACACTATATTAATGAACAGTTCTAGTTTAATAAACCTAGATTTTATAGGAGTATATGACATGTATAAAATGAAGTAAGAGAAGTGAGCAACAAAAGCTCCCTCATCGCTCTTTATGTGTGTTGTAGGAGTGGTCTCGGTACGAGGAGGTCACTGAGAGACTGCGTAAGCAGTTGGATGAGATGGAGACAAACATGTCCAGTCTGGATTCAGAGCCAGAGGGAGACCTGCAGGGACAGCTGCAGTCCTATGAGGTTAGTTCGCCGCATCCCTGGGAACGCTAATGGCTGCCTTTCTTTGACCTCCTTTGAGTTAGAGCTGTGTTTATTTGATAGGAATGTTTTACATTCTATGACCTTGCATGAGAATTACAGAAATTCCAATCAGCAATCTTAATCGAAGTTTTTGTCTTGTTTTACAGTTAAAATATCTAAAAAATATAGTTTTAAAATCGCATAATTGTAAATCTTGAATTAGGTTATTGAATTGGTTTTCTTTCTCTATTGGCAAATTTTTGTGAGGTTTATGATCAATAAAAAATAGTTATAATAAAGAACAATATATTTGTTAGACACTATATATTCAAATGTTTGAGGTCATTAAAATTTTCCTTGAAATAAATTCATAATTTTTAAGGAAAGACCTTAAAGACATTTAGAATGTTACAAAAATTGTTTTAAATAAATAAATTGTTTAAATAAATAATAAATAAAACTTTCCAGGAAATCCTGACAAAAAAACATGTTTTTCAGAAAAATATTAATAAGCACAAATGTTTGAAACACTTTAAATGTTTCTTGAGCACCAAATCAACATATTACAATGATTTCTGTAGGATCATGAAACACTGAAGAATGGAGTAATGGCTGCTGAAAATTCAGCTTTGCCATCACAGGAATAAAATTGCATTCTAAAATATATTCGAATAGAAAACAGTTATTTTAAAATGTAAAATTGATCAAATAAATGGAGCCATGGTGAGCTTAAGAGACTTCGGTTCTTTGTACCAACATCAAACTTTAAAATGATACTCTATATTTATTTGTATAATATGTAAATATATTTATGAAAAAGCAAATTAAATCTTTTTACTAGTGCTGTCAATCGATTAAAAAAAACTAACTAATTAATAGCATATTTTTCTGAAATTAATCACGATTAATCCCACCTAACATTCAAGTTTTTAAATATACTTTTATATTGTAATAATTTCATATTCAATCTTCAAATTAATGTAGAAACAACATAAAGACAGTATATTTTTAATAATTTTCATAATATTTAACCATTGACTATAGCTATTCAACATTACAGTATAATTGAGAGCTATCAGTTTGAACATTTATTAGACTTTTAAAAAAAACTTCTAATTTAAGTGAACTTAAAATCTTCACATAAACCCATTATACTAAATGTCTTATTTAGCTACATGTGCCCTTCAGCAAGTAGAAAATTAAATATACAGAAATTGATAAAGTTATCAAACACTAAATTCTAAATTAAATATAGATGAATCCTTAAAGCTGCAAAAGTTATTGATTTCCCCCTTTTTTTTTTTTTTTTTTTTTTTTTTTTTTTAAAAAAAAAAAAAAAAAAAAAACTCTAGCTTTCTATTCTACTTGTTTTTCTTTGTTTGTGTATATATATATATATATATATATATATACACACACACACCTTGCTACGTGTACTGCGTTAGGCTAACCGAGACTTGTCATTTGCACTTATATATTGTTGCTCATTTATTAGGTTATTTTGGCTGCTTTAAGAGCTGCCGCTGCTGAACATGACACGGATCTGACACGCATCATATTTTCTCACAACACTTTACCTTTTCTGACCCACTTCAGGTTTAAAGTCTCTATTAATGAGCTGACGAGTTGAATCGGGTGTGTTAGAGGAGGGAGACAGTGCTGGTGCTCCAGAAAACCCACTGCATTTCAGAGACATGTTCTTAAATCTGACTCATATATATATAACAAATACTTGCATGCACAGTTTTAAGGCAGCTTTAATCGCCTTTTTGGTAACTTCATGACTTAACTGATGACATAACTACAACATTGCATGCTCGGTAGTTTCTTTTGCGTTTTAATATTAAATGAGACTGGTTACAGCGTGCTCCGCCGCATTTATGTGCAACTGAAGAGCACCTGCTACAAGCACCGGCTGACAGGACAGGAAAATTATTTTCTACTGACATACGGCCTGACAACATCTCATCTGACTGCAGTTCACCATTGTTCTACTGAAGCTCCTCATCTCCTGTACCTTTTATTTCGCCCTCGTTTGACTCGTGTCTGGCGCTGAGGTGAAGTTGGAGTGCGCGTCTGAAAAGTCTCCCATTTGATGTGGTTGTAAAGACGTTCTGCGTCTAAATAAATGCAATTCTTGTCAAGAAAAAAAGAGACCGAAGCAGCAGTTGTGAGTGGGGTGGCCAACTCTAGCTCCACCCCTCTGTTAATTGCGTTAAATATTATTAATGCGTTAAACTGAAAAAAATTAATTGATTAAAAAATGTTATTGTTAATGCGCTAACTTTGACAGCACTACTGTTTAGGTTTCTTTTTTTTTTTTTACTGAAAAAAATAAAGCAATTGCAGATTAAGAAAATAATTTTTCAGTACTCTGTCCCTGGTTGTGTTGTAATGAATAAATAAAAATCCTAACCAAATAGGTGCAGCATAATGCACTCTTTTCTGTATTAAATCACATAGAAGTTGTGGGGTGTTACTGCATTTTAGCTGAGCACATTATTGACTTAGCTTCGAGGATTCCTGCACATATTAGTTATTTGGTCGGGTACAGACTAAGCAGCAAAAGTAATAAGTATCTGAGACATGTAGGCGTGTGGGGGAGGGGAGGGTCTTCTCTTTTCTTTGGTTATACGTTACATGAGAGTTTTGGGGGTTTTTTTGGTCCAGCACATGATGTTCCTGATTAAATTACTCAGAGCGATAGTTGCCATATCTGTGGAACTTAATGTTCTGCGGCCTGCATTGGCCACTGTTTTATTACTTGTTCCCCTCACTATTACAAAAGCTAATTTCTCAGCTTCACTGACTCACACGGAACAGTCAGTAGCATACGGTTAGTTGCATTCATATTATTTTCCCCTTTATGTCTACCATAGCTCATTACTCAGGTGGATTGATATAGGAGGAACAGCAAGCAACCCTTTTTGTGTCTGTAATAGATGTACATCAAACTCACTCCCATCCCCACAAGCCACTCCATCTGAGCAAGCGGTTGAAGCTGAGAGAGATGAGGAGGTGGGGATGAAGAGATCAGTTAGAGCAGCGTTTCTCAAGACTGCAGTACTTCAGCTGACCACATCCATATCTGTGTACTACTTAATCACAATGAGTTTTTAAAAAAGCAGAGCAAATATATAGCTGTGCTATATATATATATATATATATAGAGAGAGAGAGAGATACAGATACAGATAGATAGCGATATTAAACTTAAAGGCACAATATATAATTTTCACCGCTAGAGGGCACGTATTCAAAATAAACAAATAGACAAAAGTGTAGTTTGATGACGCCGTGACTGAGTGTGGAATCATGGGAGTTGTCGTCTTCATCCCCACAGCCGATGTAATCCGACGGGACTCAGGCAGAAATCATGTTCATGAATGAGCTAATGATTTGTTAACGTAGTAGAATGGAGCAGGGTGAGGCTGAAAGCCGTCGAAGCAAAACAAGGCCGCTGAACGAGCGTGACACACGGCTCGAAAGCAGCAGAGCTTTTATTATGCCACAGTCGACCGCTTCCGCTCCTTCCGGTCGTGCGTATGTGGGGGAAAAAAAAGCAGCGCTGTTTTATCATACTAGGTACATTTGAAAGTTCTGTTATAATGCTACTCTGTGCGGTCGTCACTGGTCTATTAAAACGCACAACATATTAAAGCGTCTTTGGTGTTTCCATGTTTTCTACAAAACAAAACCAGAAATCGAGGGGTTATGACGTCATTAGCAGGCGACACAATGACACATATGGACACGGTCCGTGTCTCTACTTAAAATTGCTTATTTCTCTGGATTTAAACATTCTTCGAAACATTTGGGATAATGTAAGTACACGAGTCAGCAAAATATATAACACTGTTCTAGTGGTTTTTGGATATTTTAATAAAAAAATCTTACATATAGTGCCTTTAAATCATGATGACTGATCCTTTGAAGATCAGCGAATGGACCTTATATATATATATATATATATAAGTATATTAATTATAAGAAATATATTAAGTATCAAGTATAATACACTAATTTTGTCACCCAAATATTATATATTATATTATATTATATTCCATTTGAAGTGTTTAAACTGTCTGCCTTTTTAAAAGCAAATAATGAGGTTTTGATATTAAATGATTTTAAAAAGTAGTAATAAATATTACTTCTATTATATTACATTTGAAGTTTTTAAAAGCAAATAATGAGGTTTTGATATTAAATGATATTAAAAAGTAGTAATAAATGCTAGTTAACATAAATACTTTTTATAAATAGTTTAATGTTTGTTATAATATATGTTTATAGTCTTAAGTGTAAGGTAAGACATAATAACCCGCCAACCTTTCTTTTTTTCTTTTCTTTTCCACTTTCTATCATTGTCAGAGATTGCAGAAGGTCCTGGAAGACACAAGGCCTCAGGTGTGGGAGATCCAAGACCGACTCAGGATCCTGCAGGAAAAGGGGTGTTGCCGTGAGCGGCCAGGCCAGCCTGTATCAAAATCACAACTGTTGATACGCTGGATGGAGCTTCATAATCGACTACAGCAGAAGATACAATCCACACAGAAGATGAAAAAAAATTATGAGAGGTGTGAGAAAAACAGTAATCAAATAATAAATAAAAAATGTTTGTAAAAATGCCATTTTGTTGGAGGAATGAAGTGGTATCATTTTCCCCTCACAAATGGATCATCATATTTGGATGTCCAGGGTATTAAAAAGTTTAAAATCCCTTTGTTTAGAGGCCACATTGTTATATCAGGTTATAAATAAAGGTGTGTATTTCTGTGCGCTTATATGTGTAGGTTCCAGTGTAACTCAACAGAACTAGAAGTGTGGATATGTCGTGCTCAAGAACAGGTTCAGAAGTGGAACAGTTTGTCTGATTCTGATCCACTGAATTCCAGAACAATCTTGACCCAGCTCACGGTGACTAGAATTTGATTTGTGTTTATATTATTCTTTTTTTTATACCATGTGAAGATGTGCATCATGCCCAAAATGCAAAAATAAGAATGTGGCTTTGTTTGCATGTTGCAGGAGTTCTTCAAGGAGCTGGAGGTCCGTTCGGCACAGAAAGCTTCTGCAGAATGTGCAGGCACACAGATACTGCAGCTGACTGACAATGAAGCTCCAGGTCTGCGCAGACGACTGGCTCAACTTGAGCAGGAATGGATGAACTTGACTAACGAGCTGCCCACCCTCAGCCAGACACAGCAACAAGTACGACTAATGTGTCTCTCTTAAGTTTCTCTCTCTTTTTCTCTCTCCCTCATCGATCTATTAGAAGCGAAACTCTGGCAAACAGATATTGTTTAAGTAAGCATCCTCTTGCCCTCCTTCTAGCTGTTGACAAACCAGTCTCACAGTCATATCTTGGCCAACTTGACCTCCTGGCTCAAACATGTAGAGAGACAACTGGAGGATGAAAGCTCGGGGGTCCATTGTGCCCTCGGTTCCTCTCAGCTGTCTAGACATCTAAAGGCTTTGAAGGTAATGCACCTACACTTTAAATTTTTTTTGGTTTATTGTGGAATCATGCTTTGATTAACAGAAAGTTCAAAAGAACAGCATTTATTTAAAATAGAAATCTTTTGTAACATTAGAAATGTCTTTACTGTCACTTTTGACCATTTGAATGTGTCTGTGCTAAATAAAAGTATTCATTTCTTTAAAAAAAATCCTAGAAAACATTGACGTAATATTCCACATTTAATTTTTTTACATACTAGGATCTTAAGGCTGAAATAACCAGTCATCAGCCATATGTTGACATTCTGAACTATCAGTCTGTGGAGGGGACGGGATCAGTGAATGAACCCACCAATCGCAATGAGCACATCCTGTTTGCTGAGCAGCTGGGAGCTCTCAATCTGAGTTGGCTTATTCTACAGGTCAAAATTGACAGCATGGTGAGTTCAGAAGTTCAGCATAGTTGCAGTAACATACATAACCTGCCAAAGCCATCATATTTGAAATGTGACAAGTTCTTCTGTCTCTAGATTCATGATATTGAGGACCAATGGCAGACCTGCACGGACAGAGAAAAGCGTTTGTACTGTATGCACAGCTGGATCTCTCAATGTATGGAATGGGTGAAAAACAGCTGGCGACCAGAGAGCTGCTCACAGATTGAGCAAATGTTACAGGAGTGTGAGGTGAGTCTCTTATCTCACAGCTAGCTTGAAGACTTTGTTGCAGTTGTTATTTGTTGGTGTTAAAGGAGTGCTTTTAAAAAGGGAAGAGAGAGATATCAGAAAACGTTGACATTGCTTCATTGCAGGAGACAGAGGAAAGGCTGCAGGTGAAGTCCTCTGAGCTGAAGGCTTTGGGAGCTCTTCACCTGTTCGGGCAGCAGGACGGTGAACATCCTGGAGATCAAGCATTCTCCAAACAGGTGAATTCATCCATCCAGGACTGCCAAGCTTTGAGTCAACAGGTAAGTTCATAAACCCTGTGAAAGAATGCATCAGTAAATTTGTGCACATTGGCCACATATACTACTTTACAAAAGTTTGGGTTGAGTAAGATTTTTTTTTTCTTTAAGAAAATAATACTTTCATTCAGCAAGGATGATTAAATTGATCAATGTGTCACAATTTCCAGAAAAATATTAAGCAGTAGATTTGTTTTCAACATTGATAATGTATCTTGAGCATCAAATAAGTATATTAGAATGATTTCTGAAGGATCATGTGACATTGAAGACTGGACGTCTATCACAGGAATAAATTACATATTAAAATGTTACAATAGAAAACGGTTATTTTAATTTGTAACAATATTTCAGAACATTACTTTTTTTTTACTGTATTTTTGATCAAATAAATGCAGCCTTCGTGAGCATAAGAAACTTCTTTCAAAATCTTTTGAAAACTTACAACCCTAAACTTTTTAATGGTAGTGTACATACTGCAGCTTTAAAAGCAAGTGAAGAAATGTTATTCCTAGCTGTGTGTGTGTGTGTGTGTGTGTGTGTGTGTGTTTTTCTTAGATAAATGCTCTCAAGTCAGGTTTACAGCCAATCAAAGATGAATGGACTCACTTTGAATCTAAAATGAGTGCAGCAGAACTGCAAACAACCGGGGTGCTCTACAAGCTGGAGCTCTGCAGAGCTCCTGTGTTCTCATCTGAGCAGAGCCAAAGTCATGTGGACCATCTGCAAGTGAGTAAACGGCTCTAAATGAAACCAATCCATTGCAAAAAGGTTGTAAAAGTTTGACTTTTTCTAAATTGTAAAGTTGTTAACATTATAACCATTCATGTAATGTTTAAGCACCAATTTTATTCTCCCAACATGAGAATTCACTAGGGGTGTAATGATACACGTATTCTTATTGAACCGTACGGTATGAGGCTTTCGGTTCGGTACGCATTACAAACCGAACGATTCGTTGGAGTAATCCCATTACATTTGTGAAAAAAAAGAGCTTAAAGTGTGTGAAATATAATGTACTCCAGGTTGTGACGGTGAGATAGTTAGTTAGAGTTTTCCCTCTTTTCCTCGCTTTTAAATAGCTTGTAAATGCTTGTGCGCATTTTACTTTCACTTTCGAACTAGCTGCATTTCGGCGTCAATTGATTGAATTGACAACAACAAAACAGTACGACAAACTCACTTACATTAAGCATAGAATGTTTAATTTATTAACAAAACGAATACAAATACACCATGCTATAGGCCTAATTTAAAATAACAAATAACTTACACAAAGTTTAAATATAAAACACTGAAAATCAGCAAACACGGTAGAACCAAATAACTAAGAAACGAATGTTAAAAAAGCTTCCAAAATCATCTTAGATAAACGGCAAAAGTCCAAAATATTTTTAATATCATATGATACTAGTTTTAATAAATTTAAAAAAAAAGTAAAAATCAAAGAAATTTGTCTGGCATTTCTTTGTTTTTGCTGTATCGAAAACATACCGAACCGTGACACCCCTGTGTCGTATCGAACTGAACCGTGAATTTTGTGAACCGTTAAACCCCTAGAATTCACATATAAATATTCAACATTGCCATCATAGTTAGCAGTGTGATTTATTGGGTATATTACTATTCATGCTTCCTAACAGGAGCTTGAAGGGGAGCTGAACCGATCAGAGACCTGGACCCAGTTAACGGAGTTGTTTTCTGACTTGAAAGACAAACTCAACCCTTATGCGTCTGAACTTTTGTCTGATCGTCTAGAGAAAGAGAGAACTCGGTAAGTAATTTTACTTTACATATCCTCCACTTACTTTAATTCACCTTTTAAACTTTGAAATAGCACCAAACTGACCATTTCTCTGACGTTGTGTCTTCATCATTGTTGAGGAAGCTACTTTAAAACAGCAGTGTCTTTATAAATTAGCAACTGAATCAGTTTATTTTATGGTTTAGTTGAGTAAATCATTTATTTACATGAATCATAATCATACTAAAATGAATCAGACATTGAAATGCAAAGAAAGAACAGAACATGTTTGATTTTTAAGTTTTGTTTGTCTGGTTGTTCATTTTCAGACATCAAGCAGTGACTGAAGATGTGCATGCAGATTTACTGAAGGCCCAGAATGCATTGCGGCTTTGGCTGGAGTATGAGCGTCTCACGGAAGAGTGCTGCGTTCAGCTAAATCAGCACTGGGAGAGGCTTGGAGAGCTTATGAGTTCTTCAGACAGAGGAGAAAACACTGTAGAGCTGCTCAACAGCAGGATGCACGGCATCAGTGTGAGTAATTAATAGTATCTAGGCCCCTTTAACATCTGGCATTAGGATGCGTTTCCTATCCAGATAGTATCTGGATATTCTTCATCTCCAGTGTTATCTGACAGAGGTTTGATCACACTTACCCAAGAAAAAATGGAAAATGCCAACTGCATATTACTTGAAATATTATTCATTAAATGAGATTTTAACTCTAATATGATTATTGGCCTCAATTACCTGAAAATGCATGCTAATGCCAGGTGAGAGCTCAGTGCAGATGAGAAATCAATCGAAATACAATAGGTCTGAGGTACAAAACACATTAAGTACAAAATTAAAAGGTTAGTGGCTAACAAAAGGGAAAACAACAACAACCCTTAAATCATACTAAACCTATACATTCCACAGCAATAATGATGCACAGAAATGTTAAAAACTGATTGTTTTTTAAATACAAAGGTACTGGTTTGGATTTAATCTTTGTCATTTTTAAAGAAAATAACATTTTGCAAAGTAATGATTCACAGTGAAAAATCGAACCTAGATAGTAGCCAATTTTCAGCATGTGCTTGTTAAGTGCTAAAGTGTTCTAGTCCTACAGATGGGTCTGCAGTACTTCAGTCCAGTTGTGTTTTTTTTTGGAAAAAAAGGAACATTGAGATCTGGAGCTGGAGCTTTTCTCAGTGGGCTAAAAATACCAAATGAGACCTGTGCTACTCTTAACAAAAAATGTTCAACACAAAAGAACATGGAATCATGAATCTGTTCTTATTCAATTCGTTTAAACTGGTGTTTTTTTCCTGGTTCATACACATAGTTAATTAAACTTAAAAAAAAATAAAAATAAAATAAAGGGATTTGTACATTTATAATCCCTGTTTAAACATAAACAAACAAATAATATATTTAATGTATGTTGATAATAAAAAAATAACTTATTTTCTGAATAAAAAACTAATTTGTGTCTATAAAATTAAAATAAATAAATAAAAGGAATGATAAGAAAAGCAAATGAAAAAAAGTAGCCATTAGCATCACTGTTCATTCAGGCTCTCCATTAAGGCAGTTACATGAATCTCCCTGACAGTCCACATATACTCCTCAACTGAGTTATTTAATTGTAATGTTTTTTAGTAGCTGCCATAAGTATTTAATAAATGTTTTTTCCTACCTTCTACTGATTCCATCTTAAGTTTCAAAAATAGTAACCAGTGGCTCAGAGTTGAAGGCTTCATACATTTGATCAGAAATAAAGAAAAAACAGTAATATTGTGAAATATTATTACAATTAATAATAATAATAATAATAATTTGAAATGTTTTAAAATGTACTTTATTCCTGTGATGTAAAGCTGAATTTTCATCAGTCATTAATCCAGTCTTCAGTATCACATGATCCTTCAGAAATCATTCTAATATGCTGATTTGATGCTCAAGAAACAATTCATTATCAATATTTTATATAATTGTACTGCTGAATATTTTTTCAGGATTCTATGAATGAATAGAGCATTCAAAAGAACAGCATTTATTTGAAATAGAAGCCTTTTGTAACATTATGAATGTATTTACTGTCACTTTTGACCAATTGCTGAATAAAATTACTTTATTTAAAAAAAAAAATTTTTGAACACTGGTATAATTCATTATAAAACAATTTCATGACATGATAAATTATGTAATTTCCTGTGTGGCTCTTCTAACCTAATGTCTTTCACAGGCTCTGGAGAAAGACATGCCGGCCTTGCAAAGCAGTGTGGGAAAAATCCTGGAGGCCTCGAAGCTTCTCATTGGGCAGATGAAACCCCAGTCAGCCCCTCTAATCAAATCAGAAACAAGTTTGCTATCACGTGACCATGCATATCTTGGCAAGGCACTTTCTGACATCGGGGCACAAGTTCAGGTGAGGGTGACAAGTTTATATCTAAGCAAGTAATCTGATTCATCTGCAAACTGATGGCAAACATTTATATGCCATCCTACACAAGTGTTGTGCTGTTCTCGGTCTATAGGAGGAGCTGGAGGAGCACTGCAGTTTCAGCACTGAGATAAAATCAATGGAGCAACAACTTAAAAACTTTGAGAACATTATGACCTCCTCTGCTACAAGCATGGATAGACTAAAGGTGAATCTGTGGCACGTCTTGAGGTTGTTCTCGTTAATTTTCTTTTATCCTCCTCTTTGTGTTTCAGAGCAAACTAAAAGGTTTGTTTTTATGTAAATGTTTCTGTTTTTTCTTTCTCTAAGATGGTTCTGTTAGATCTGAGTGGGCTGAACCCTAACCTTGCTGCTCTGAATCAAACGAGTTTCAGACTCTCCTTAAGCTCTACAGAGGAAGAGAGGTTACAGTCCCTCAACGCACAGTGGGTTCAGGTCTTCTCTCAGGCTTCAGACCGACACAGGCAAGTGAAACTTCACTGTATTAAAGCTGTTCCGTTCTCAAACATTTTGATTTAGCCCTGAAATACACTTGATCCCCGATATCTTAGGAAAAGGTATAGTTTACCTAAACATGAGAATTTTATTTACTCGCCCTCAGGTTGTTTCAAACCCTTTCAAAAACTCTCTTGTTGTGTTCCATTGGGAAAAAAATTACTGGTTTGGAACGACATGAGGGTGAATTTTTATTTTTGGATGAACTATTACTTGAACTTTGTTTTTTTCCATAAACAAACTTTTTACACCCTAAAATAAGCTGTCACTCTGGTGAATGCCAATGCACATATCTGTCTGTAGGAAGATGTATGGAGAGCTGCTGCATGCTCAGAACTTCCAACAGAAGTGCCAGTGCTGGATGGAGTTCCAGGACAAAATCAAGGCTGGGTTATCCAATCAGACGTCTGGAAACTGTGCTGCTGTAAAAGAGCAGCTAGCTGCACATCAGGTAGAGCATACAGTTATAAAGTTAAATCCATTAGAAAAGTATTTTCTAATACTCAGTTTCATCATGCGATGTTGCTTCATAATGACCATGCATAACATATTCGAATTAAAGGGATAGTTCACCCAAAAATGAAAATTTGATGTTTATCTGCTTACACCCAGGGCATCCAAGGGGTACCTATCTCTCAAATGGACCATTGGCACTCTATCTACAATCTCAATTAGGAGTGTCAATGGTCCACTTGAGAGATAGGTGGCGGTAATGCACTTATAAGTCTGCGATCCGCCGTAAAGCAAGAAGAAGACGCCTCACGTGCCTGCTGTTGAGAACGCGCTCAGGAGGACGTGCTGCCGCTCAGGACAGTTTGAACAGTTCGGACATTGCGTGAATCAGAGGTAAAAAAACAATATAAATACTGTTCAGTTTCTTGCACAGACCGATCGTTTTGTGTCTTTACACATCAATGCATCGTCACGAGCCGCAGGGTTTAATTTGGTTTTGTTTGAGTATGTTTTTTTTTTACTCTCAAAGCCGTGATTCCCATTCATTATAAGACTGACAGACTGCAACGGTTTGTGTTAAAAATCTTCGTTTGTGTTCTGCTGAAGAAATCACCTACATCTTGGATGCCCTGGGGGTAAGCAGATAAACATCAAATTTTCATTTTTGGGTGAACTATCCCTCTAAGATCCTGTTCTCAGAAATCTTTATTCTAAGAAATGCTATTGGAATATTTGTTGCATTTAGAATCAAAATCTTTCTTTGTTTTTTTTTGTTTATTTTGCATTTAGACATGCATAGATATAAATGAATATTCCACTGCAGTGAATATGACAAAGATAAAGAATTGCTAGTTAATGCAAGCTATGATTTCTAGAAAACAGAATATTGACTTTATCATTAATGTTTTTTTTTACATTTTGAGTGTTTTATGCTCGCCAAGGCTGCATTTATTTAAGCAATAATACAGTAAAATCAGTAATATTCTGAAATATTAATATTAAGATATCTATTTTCTATTATAATATTTTATAAAGCTGAATTTTCAGCATTCATTACTCCAGTCTTCATTGTCACATGATACTTCAGAAATCGTTTTAATATGCTGATTTGCTGCTTAAACATTTATGATTATTGTCAGTGTTGAAAACAGCTTTACTGCTTAATATTTTTGTGGAAAGTGTGATCATTGTTTTTAGCATTAATTGGTGAATAGAAATCTATAAAAATAACATTTTGAAATATAAATCTTTTGTACCATTATAAATGTCCACCTTTTTTAATTTATTGATCTCTTTTTAATAAAATAAGAGCAACAGGAACTCTTGGTAATAGAGTATTGTTTAATATATTTTTTAAATGGTTGTACAGAGCTCATCTATTCATATATTAGTACTAAATCTTCCAGAAGCTGAAAGTGGAGGTCCTCCTCAGCCAGCAGCTGGATGCCATAATCAGTGAGGGTTTGCGCTTCCTGGAGAGCAGTCAAAATGAGGACAGGTGAGCTTTTATAACACTACACTCAATAAGTTCTTTCCTAGTACTCAGTAACCTCAGAATTTTCTTACTAACCTCCAGTGTGGGACTCTGCCATGGATAAGAAATCAAAGAATATGGTTTAATAATTGGTTTTGAACAGGATGTCTCCTGATGAGTAATTAAAACCGAGATTCTCCAACTGATTTTTTTTTCCACGGGCTTCAGATGAGGCTATAACTCTTGGGAGTTATGTGGTGTGGAAGAGCTCCTTTGAGCTCAGCACTGGAACAAGCTGGCTCGCTCTCAGGAAATGAAACTGCATGTGCTACCGGCATGAATTATTGAAATCATTTTTCTTTTCAGCATATAAGTGCTGCTTCAGGTGGAACTCCTGCATGGTTACATTGAAGATGTTTCTTGGGTCTGTTTTTTTCCATTGCAGGAACAAATGTCATGTAGTTTATTTTTCAGATGACTGGCAAAGCCAGTGGCCAGTGGAATTGCTGTTAGTTTTATGGTATTAACATCTCTGTTATGTGTTGCTCATCAGTTGTGACATCTATGGTCTCTTTTTTTTTTTTTTTCAAAAAATTTAAATGGGATAGTTTACCCAAAAATAAAAATTCTGTGATCCTTTACTCACCTACGTGTTGTTACAAACCCATAACTTTTATTCAGTTTTGAAACACAAATAAAAGTATTTATATTGAAATCTGAGAGATTATGGACATTGAAAGTTGATGGTTCAAAAAGTCCATAAAGGGATTGTAAAAATAATCCATATAAATCGAACAGTGTAATCAAAGTCTTCTAAAGAGACATGGCCGCTTTATATGCTGATCGATACATTTGGATTACTTTTACAATGATTTTATGACCATTTTGAAGTGCAAAAGTTTTGGGTGAATAGACATTCAGTGGAGGAAAAGAAATCTCTCAGGTTTCATTAAAAAAATATATGTTCATTTGTTTCAAAGACGGTCGAAAATCTCATGGGTTTGGAATGACAAAAGGGTAATTGATGCCAGAATAATAATTTTTGAGTGAACTAAACACATTTAACCTGAGTGAATGTTCTTCACTATGGTAACTTTTGTACAGTGGCCCAGTAGTGTATAACACGGCGAAATCGCCACAACACAACGGAAAAGACGCAACACAATGAAATTAGCACAACACAACGGAAAAAAGATGCAACATAACGAAATCGGCACAACACAAAGGCAATGGCACTATGCACACAAACATTTGCTACTTTTTAACACTTGAGATCCTCTTTAATAAATTCAGCACTTCTTCTTTTTAAGCGCTGTTACAGTTGAATGAACTGAGGGATTTAATGCAGGGTCCAATGATCAAACGAAATCCAAATTTTGATATCCAATATATTTTCACGAACCCTTAATGTTTCTATGGGACAATACATTATATATCACCCCATATCACGGTGCCATAGTGTTTACATTAAGTGTAAATAACCAGCCTTTTTGACATATAGGCTATTTACACTAATTACGCTCACCAATGTCTGGTTGGGCCACACAAAATAAAAAATGACGCGGACCGGGTACCAGCTGTATAGTGGCGTAGCGAGTAAGGCACATAAAAGTAGCATTTTGACACGATCGACCCAAGTTCAAGTCCACCTTTTGCCGGATTGCTCTTCTCCTTTTCCCCCCATCACATATCAGATCAGAAAGGCATTTACTTTCAATGTAGAAAATATTCGAAAAGTGGAAATAATGTGCATAACGAGTGTTTAATAATGAAGTATATCGGGTTAGGGGTATAGGTGTATGAAGGGCTTTATTTGCACTCTACATTACTATTGCATCCTGTTAATGTACAACAAAACTCAGGTGCAAGCATCCGTCTATAGACTATAGCCTATAAATAATATCTAAAGACTATTTATTGCAAAGAAAATACATAGTGTAAATAGAATCTATTGCTAGTGTATCCATAAAATACTTTCTATTGTCAATTTGTGTAAACAGCATCTAAAATATGCTGCTTACATTGCAAATAGCCGCTGCCTTCTATAAAGGCGTAAAACTAGCATGCAAGCTTTATATAGTGGTAATGGACTAACAAAACCCTAATTTTGAACAATTTACTATACCAATACCACACCAATGTTTTTATGGACTCTTGAGCTTGCACATACTGTATTATTACTGTTGAATTCATTTCATAATGCTGTTTCTCGCTGCCACGTAAACAATGCTTTAAAACTAAAATTTGGTCTAACAATATTACTATTTTAAAGAGCTTTTACTGCACCAGGATTTTTAAATGACACTTTAAATTTACATAGCCATATAAATGACTTGGCTAATGGTTTTAAAAAAAATTGGTACTACAGTAAAATGCCCAAAATTTTAATTTTGTTAGACCATTACCTCTGGTATAGAGTCCTTAGTTTTAACGCATCCTCTATAGTGGCCAAGAAAGGGAGCGGGAAGATTTCGTTGTGTTGTGGCTTGTTTCAATTGTGTTGCGGCGATTTTGTTGTGTTGTGCACTACTGGGCCACCATACTTTTGGCTCAATGTACCTTTAACAAAACGTGAAAATGTTGACAAACAAATTCAATTGTGAGCAGGAGTCATCTGATTCTGAGAGTCACCCAGCTAAAGGCACAATGGCAGGGGACACAGCAGAGGGTCCAGCAGCATGGCAGATGTTTGGAAGGGCTGATGGGACAGTGGCAACTCTATGAGGCCGGCTCAGGGAAACTTTCAAAGTTACTCAGACACATCGAAGAACTTCTGCCCCTAGCAGGACTTGCGCCGTGCAGCTTACAGCAAGTCCAATGCTCTATAAAAGACTTTGAGGTAAGATGATTGAGTAAAGAGAATATAATGATCTTTTCAACTCTTTCAGATCCTAATGTTGTACTGCAAAGTCTGATCCAACACCATCATCATCTTTCATATTTTCTATCTCACAGTGGACAGAGGAGCAACTACAGCTTCATGAAGAACTCTACAGGCAGACTGTGGAGGCAGGGGGACACATCCTTCTACTAACAGATGCGCAGACGCAGACACACCTGCAGACTGAACTGGATGCTCTCAAAGAGATGTGGGAGAGAAGCTGTGGCCTTGTGAGGAAAAGAAAGGCTCTTGCAGACACCATAACTCATGTATGTGACCCAATTCTCACATTTCCCAGACCATGTCTTAACTGGTTACAATGTGAAAGTTTTCATTGACAAATAATACTGTCAATGATTCACATTTACAGTATGTTGGGAATAAATCGATTTTTTTTCAATATATATAGGATCTGACAATATTTGGTGTTTTATTGTATTTATTTATTTTGCTTGTTGCTTTATCACTTTATTCATTATCTTTTTCGTCTTTGGTAATGACAAATGTTTTGAATGATTTTGCTTGGATGTCGCAAGAATGTCAAACAAGAATTAGCCTGCTAATTAAAAAAATATGTAGTATAAGCATAGCAAGGATTTGGATCAGTCTGATTAGTGCTGACACCCTTGTCTTATTGAATCCTTGGTTATTGGTTGGTCAATGGTTATTGTGCGGGTCTTTCTTAGCCGCCATTGACCTACATGCCCTCCTTTTCCGTTTCTCTAATAGAGTGCTTCATTTTGAGAATGAGAGATCAGCTGTAATCTCGCCATAATCCATAAATGAGGCAGCTGGGCCATATCACATAGAACAAGGGTTTTCAAAACCACGGCTACTAACCCACTATGCAGTTCGGTGTCTACATGGATCATCTGTCATTGTTCACACACAATCCCACAATGCCCTAAGGCCTAAAGTAGAGGTAGATGTGGGAACAAAGCTTGGGAAGTGTTTCTATTCCATTCTACTTGATTTTCAAAACCTTAATAATGTAAGATCACACAGGCTTCAGAGCAATATACATTGCCACAATGGTCGCATAAATTGTCATGTGGACTCTTAATGACAAGGTACAAATTTGTAATCCTGTGTAGTTTATTAGCACCCTGGAGCATTTGGGCCATATTTGAAGGAATAACTTTGACTATTGCCAAATGTAAATCAGTGTTCACCAGCAAACAGTGGGGCTCTGTCACCCTAAACTAGAGGCTGATCCCCTGTACTGTTAGATATTATATAACACCAGAGTCACGGCCACTCATAACCAGCTCTGATGGGCTCTTCTGTTTGGAATGATGACATCATCGTTTTGAAGGGGGTTTAGAGAGTGATGTGGGTGGAAGTGTGTTTATGTGTACTTTTGCTCACAATAGGTGGGGGATGGTGTATCCCCATGTGAAAGGGAAATCCCTCTTCAGTGATCTGAGATAACACAGTGACAGTACCCAAAATACAAGCACATCAGTGGCTCTCATAACCAGAACTTATAGACAGTTAAAGGAATGTTCCAGGATCAAGATCAAAATTATTTAATTGACATTATGCCACACAAAGGTACTGTTGTTAGAGCTCAATACTGTATTGAACCTGGAAGATTCATTTAAGTCTAAAACTGTATGATCTGGTGTTGTTTTTCACAGTGTAGAAAAGATTATAGAGACAAACATCTTCCACCTTAAATTAAGAGATTCTTCTGTTTCTTTGCAGAACTGGAAGCTCTGTGAAACTGGCCTGGCTGATAGTGCTCTCAAACTGGAAAAGATAAAAGCAAGACTGAAGAGTCCGTTGCCAGAGAAGCTAGAAGATCTAAAGTCTCACATGCAGCTCATCAAGGTCATATATTTTTCTGAGTGATGACAGGCAACCAAACAACCAGTTAGAATCCCAGATTCAGGTCATTCGGCTGTATTGATAATGTAATTGATAATGTCTTATTTTATTTATTTAACCTGGAAATAAACCAACATTTTGAGGATTTGGAAAAATATATAGAGAAGAAGAAATTATCATATAAAATACAACAATTATTTAAGATTAAACAAATTTTTTAGGACAAAGGTTATAAAAAAAATATAGAGAAAAACTGAAAGGAAAAGTTGGCATAAAAAAAAAAAGATTTTTTTTCACAATTTATTAACCAATGAAATGTAGGCAAGTTTGTGATGGCATTGTGCAGATGGTCAGATGTTCTTGCTTCCACTTAATAGATTTAGGATCAACTTAAATCATGCTGAACATGAAGTTATTAAAGCAAAAGGGAAACAAACCAAATACTAAATCATTCTGAAATTCATGTACACTGCCGTTCAAAAGTTTGGGATCAGTAAGATTTTTTTTAAATGTTTTTGAAAAATGCTCACCAAAGCTGCATTTATTTCATCAAAAAAAAATAAAATAAAAACAGTAATAAAAGAAATATTTTGATGTATTATTACAATTTTAAGTTTTCTATTTTAATATTTTGGATCAGTAGAGTATATTTTTATTGCAACTGTCCTGCTTTCACAAATTATGTAATATGTAATAAAATCAGATATTTATTTATTCAATGAAAAAATAGAAGCATTTTCACTAGTGTTCTCAGCCTTTTGGACCCTGCTCTATATAGTGTAAAATCAGCTAACTTTAAATGTACTCATTGCTTACGTTTCTTTGGCGACTTCTTTAAGAATACAGTTGATTGTGAACATTTTTTTTACGCCATTACATGGGTAATTGTCGTCAATTGGCAGAGATGGTTTACAATTCCTGCTTAGCTTTGATGGTTGTCAAACAAAGTGCTTTTATCTGCCAACTGAATTCTACTGTATTTTAATACACTCAAACTATTACCAAGGTCTTTGCTAAAGAAAAAACACCTGTTGATATAATCATGTCACTTTAGAAATGTGTTAATAACCCAACTGCTGAGAATTATTTTATTTCTTGTTGATTAAGCCTTGATGAGGAAGAGTCCTTCAATGAAGGTGGGTGAAACTGACAAACAAAGGAAATAATGGTGTCTTTAACATGTTTGGCCTTTACCCCATCACCCCTTTC